CTCTGATTTTAATTATTTCTTGCCTTCTGCTACATTTGCTGTTGTTTTGCTCTTCCTTTTCTAGGGCTTTGAGATGAAGTGTGAGCTCATTTATTTGTTGGTTTTTCCTTTTTTTGAGGAATGACCTCCAGGCGATGAATTTCCCTCTTAAAACTGCTTTCATTGTGTCCCATAGATTCCTATATGTTGTGTCTGTATTTTCATTTATCTCTAAGAATTTTTTGATTTCCTCCTTTACGTCTTCTGTAACCCACTGATCATTCAGTAACATATTGTTCATTTTTCCATGTGATGTAGGATTTTTCCTTCCTTTTTTTATCATTGATTTCCAATTTCATTGAGCAAGATTTTTAATTTCACTTCCCCTTTAGGGAAATATAAGCAGGAATATTAGAGCTTTTCGAAAGTTTTTTGGTTTTTGGTTTTTTATTTTTGGGGTTTTTTTGACAGGGGAGTCCTGGGGATCAATTCTAAGACTTTTATGCATGTGTTAGGCAAGCCTATCAGCAATGAGCTGGGAAAGTTATTCTTTTTAGGTGCTGTACATTGAACCCAGGGACTTAGGCATGCTAGACAAGTGTTCTACCACTGAGCCATGAGCCTAATCCAACTGGTAAACAACAATTGAATATTTATATGAATGTTCAAGATAGACAAGTTACACATATTGAATCACTCCCTTCTTTGTCAATGCAGCATTGTTATTGGTTGTTAATTTTAGTATTATATTTCTTCTTCTCCTAGGATTCAATGTGGGCAGGAGTGCCGGTGGGAGATCATCGGTCAGGGAGATTAACCGGGATGCTTGTCATTTTCCTGGTTTTCCAGTTCTTCAGTCCTTCCTTCCTAAACATACTAATGTCCCTGCCCTCTATTTTCTCCTCATGGCATTGTTTCTGCAGCAGCCAGTTAGTGAGCTGCCTGAGAACCTGCAGGTCAGTGTGCCTGTCATCAGCAGCCGATATAAGCAGGGTGGCCAGGTAGGAATTATCTAGTAAGGTGTAAATGTAACTGTTTATTGAAAAAAATAACAATAGGGTAATGGGTTAATCACAATAAGACCAATTATTGATTCCATCAAACTTCTCCAGTAATTTTCCCAAAAAGAAGTCCTTTGTCACTGACTCTTTTCTTTATGATTACTCTGATTATAAATGCATAAGAACGTTGTATGATATTAATGGTGATATAAATAATTCTTTTGATTTATATGATTTTATGTAAAGTATGGTTTCATTTCCGAAGAATTAAAAATGAAAGAAGTAGATAGATATAAGTTATGATTAGAAAAATATTTTCATTTCTCATTTTTTGGAGGGTGGGACTGGTACTGGAGATTTAACTCAGGGTTACTTGACTACTGAGTCACATCCATATTTTGTATTTTATTTAGGGACAGGGTTTCACTGGGTTGCTTAACACCTTTTGCTGAGGCTGGCTTTAAACTCACGATACTCCTGCCTCAGCCTCCTGAGCCACTGTGATTATAGGCATGTGCCATCACACCTGGCATATTTTAATTTTCTAATGATAGATAATATCCAAATTAGGAAAACAATAAGGCTTTATTTGACTTATAATTGAAGACTATTATGGTTGTGTATGTGAGACTTATGTTTGTGGCCTTACGGAGACTTAGGAATTTAGCTTTTAAACTCAACTTTGCTTCTATCCAATGCCAAATAATATTCAGATCAATTCTAGTAATTGACAAAACTTTTTAAGTGAAATCATTAGGCTGTACCCTTACCTTAATTCAAGATATGGATTTGTACCTGGCAGTTTGGTTCTTTATACAGCTTTGGAACATACATGGTACCAGAGTCATGAAGTATTACATGAAGCTGCTCTGGATAAATCTCCTCAAATTGATTTTTATTTTGTCAAAGCTTATCCATAAGTCTCTAAATTCAACTTTGAGCATTGCTAATAATGGGGGGAAAGTGAGTTTATCATGCTTTTATGAAAGAACCTGCTTAAAATCATCAATTCTGTAATTTCAACTCTGGGCTAATTAGCATATATTTTATTTTTGCTTGCTTTCTTTAGAAATAAATTAGAAATCTGTGTTTGAAACATATCTAAGGCAAGATTCAGGATGATATATAATATAACTAAAAATGAGTTTGAAATGTACAGTGAAGGGGTACTAGGTCTCTTTTTCTAATTGCTCATTTTTTAAAAAAATTAGTTCAGAGAAATTTTAGAATGTTAGAAATTATGCAAATAGTGACTAATGTTTAACCATTTTGACCTCTGCAGTTTGATTTGGATTCTATCTGGACATTTATTTTTGGAGTTCCTGCCTCCAGTGGAACTGTAGTTTCTTCTATCCACAACGTATGTACAGAAGCTGCTTTTTTATTGTTGGGAATGCTCCGCAGCATGCTGAATTCCGTAAGTTACTGAGATACTAGTCTACCTGCCTGTAATCTGGGTGTTTTTTTTTTTAAATAAAAGAATTCTTGTATTATTTACCACATGGTCTCCAGAACCTTATTATATTTTGTTATCTCTGTGAATATACTGTGTAATTATTAAGATCACAGACTATGGAAACCAGGGTCCCAACGTGCTAACTTGTATATGCATCATTTTCCTCAGTTTAAAAGGTTGATAATAACAGAATTATGAGTATAGGGTTATGAGTATATATTGAGGTATGCACAGAGAACTTAAAATAGTACCTGGCATGTGGTAAGTGCTAAATAAGTATTAAGTTATATTATTAGGATAATAAAACATCATAGTGTATCCATGTGTACAGTGAATATACATCTTGGTATAAGTTCTTGCAATAATACATTATTTGAACATTTAAAATAACTCTCCTTTAGAGGTTAAAAATATTAGCAGTACAAGTTTTTGTTTGTTTTGTTATTCTGATTATTTCTAGTTATGAAAAATTTAAAAAGTAAATGACCAAATATATGTTCCTATTTTACATAAATACTTTCATGACTTATTTCTTTTACCCAATTTAGGATTCTGTTTTAAGAGGAAATATTAACTTTAATTCTTTGCATTATACTTGACAAATATAATTTTAATCAGATTATTGTTATGCCATCTAAGAACAAAAATTACCATTAAATATATTAATTTAGAATATTTAGGAATTCTTGTTTTTTTCCTTATTCCTAAATAAATATAAAATTCCAAGTTTAAAAAAATCACTCTCTGGGCAGGCACTAGAAGATAAATATATATTGCTTATTCTTTATCATCATTGTTGTGTTATATAATTCTTAAGTATTTTTCCTGCTATAATATACATGATAATGCTCAGAAGGATGACTTCTGCATCTTTTGTCTTCCTCCTGACTCTTTGGCATGATGCATAGTGGGACAGTAATAATGGTAATACAGCTATTGTTGGTGTACCAGCAGTAGTTTTGTTGATAATGATAAGTGATCAAAACCACAGACTCCAGTTAGATGAGCTGAGTACTCCAGGGAGTAGACAAACATCCTGCATGTTTCTAGGGCTATTATTTTTATCCTCAATAACTTCTAAATTTGTTTGCATATGTGTGCATACAAGTTTTTGCTCAGATGTGTGGTTTATAGCATTCTGGATCATCAGTATATCCATTTTTAGAAGAGTAGTGATTAATGGATTTTTGAAGTAATTTTCATTGACTTCTCTGATATTATTTCTTCCCTTGACTCTGACAGCCTTGGCAATCAGAAGAAGAGGGGTCTTGGCTCCGGGAATATCCAGTGACCCTGATGCAGTTCTTTAGATATTTATATCACAATGTTCCAGACCTTGCCTCCATGTGGATGAGCCCTGATTTCCTGTGTGCCTTAGCAGCAACTGTCTTCCCCTTCAATATTCGCCCTTACTCAGAGATGGTAGGAAAGGGGGAGGAAAATGTCAAAACTGGAATTAGTCTATTTCAATGGTTAGCAGATTTTTTTTTTTTTGCTAATCTTTTAAGCTTCTGACCAAGTTGCAGTTTCATTACTTTATATACCACCATTTTCATCATTGTCTGTGTGTCTAGCTTTCCATACTTTCCTTTTGCCTTCCCCTAAAACAGCAGTGAGCACTGCTTCCTATTTTCATTGATGATATTCTTGTAAGTCCTTTGTTAGTAATTTCTCTCTGCCAGAGGGTGTTGATTCATTTCTTATTTCACATTATGATACCTGTATAGTTATAAAATGTACTTTCCAGATAACAAAACTCTAGTCAGACTAAATTTATTTCTCTCTTATTTCAGAAAGTAGGAATTTGCTGGATAATGAATTATAGAGTTAATTGTCTTTCCGAAATATAAAATATAAAAAATATATTGGTTCTTTTGCTCACAAGATTTCTTATTTTGCTTAACTTTTGCTTTTTCTTATATTGTACTAATTTAATAGAAAATTATTAAATTATTTATGATATTGATACTCCTTTGTCCTTCAAAACAGACCCAAAATATGGCTGTCTCCTCCTCATACCTCAGAATTTCATGATGTTTCCTCTCATTTCTATCCTATACTAGAATAAACTACCTTGCTCATACTCATTTTTCTCCATATATAAATGTAAAATACTCATTCTAAAATTGTGGGATTTTTTAAAAGAAAGAAATATAACACATTACTTTAACACTCTGGTATCTTTATAATTTTAGAATCCTCATTTCTGATAAAACTGTGACCCTTGGTGATATTTAAGTATCATTTTCTTATTAACATCATGAAATCTGTCTACCGGTTTATCTTTCTCTCTCACTTGGCTCAAAATTGGCAGTAGTTTTATTATTATTTGGACTTATTTCATATGAAAATGGAATAGCCCTTAGGTGGTATTTTGCCAGATTTTTATCTGAAACTTTGTAACATTTAATTTTTCAGTAGGTAGACTTTAAATACACAAATATAGTCATTCTCATGTTTTTGTTTCATTTATTTTCAGGGCAGTTATACACAAAATATATAATGATTCTACATAAATTTTGAGCGGTCAGTCAGAAAGACCATATGTTGAATAACTGTGACATATGGTGCCAAATTACTATCTTGGAAGTAAGAGTCAAGTAAGGCAGAGTGAAATAATGTGCTGAGTAGCTTAATAGGAGGTAAATGCTAAAGGAAAATACTGCTGTTGCTGTAATTTTATTTTTAGGGAACATACAGGTAAATGTGTCTCGTAAAACCTAATGTGCTTCCACTTGATTTTACTAGGTGACTGATCTTGATGATGAAGTTGGATCTCCAGCTGAAGAGTTTAAAGCCTTTGCCGCAGATACAGGGATGAACAGGAGCCAATCAGAATACTGCAATGTGGGCACCAAGACGTATCTGACCAATCACCCAGCTAAAAAGTTTGTTTTTGACTTCATGCGGGTCTTAATAATAGACAACCTCTGTCTTACCCCTGCCAGCAAGCAGACTCCATTAATTGATCTTTTGTTGGAGGTAATAGCAAAGAAACACATTTACTTCTCATTTACATTGCTTTTATAATTAGAACTTTAATAATCAAGATAGTTCTGTATTAAATGTCTTCAGACTTCTAATTTTTCTGAGTTAAATATGGGCAGAACATATTGGGCTGTAGAACAATTTTAATCCCTCATGTGCTTTAGAGCCTATCAGTTTACTCCTCTTCTTTCCATTCCCTCAACCATGACCACAATACAATTTTTTATCATCTCTTCTCTAACAATTGGCAAACTTTTCCTGTAAAGAACTAAACAGTAAATATCTTAGACTTCTTGGGCCACATAGTCTGTGTCTCAGCTATTTGACTGTACCATTGTAGTGTGAAAGCAGCCATAGATGACACAAAAAGGAATGGGCATAACTGTGTTCCCATTAACTTAATTTGCAAAAATTGTCACAGTCTGATTTGGGCCACAGGCCTTTGCATACCAACTCCTTCCCTAGACATGGATAATACCTAGTGGCACTATCTTCTCACCTGCAAATTCCCTGCCCGGTATTACTGCTGTTGCTATCTAGTGCAGCTTTAAGACATTGTGTATTATGCATAGTAGATAGTTGCTCAGTATGCACTTGGTGAATTTCCTCTGAGGCAGAGACTTCTAGGTTGCTTGCCATTTCTCCGGGGAAGAGTGGCTGTAAGCCTTAAATGTCCTTGCTGGCCCTAGAAATTAGCTTTCTCTGAAAACCATTAAAAACTGTTCACTTAGAAAAATCCCAGAGAAAATAAAAAATCTAACAAAATAAAAAATCTAAAAATCTAACAAAGAGGAAATCTAACAAATCTAATAAATAATACCTTTCCTATACATGTATGTTCTTTGGGCCAGTTGGTATAAATAGGATCAAATAGTCCATGGAGGGAAGTATGAAGGTGGGTGAAAGATTGAATCCCTGTGTTCTATCTGGACTATAACAATAGAACCATAGCTTCCTCTGCTCCCCCTAGTGGCCAATATAGTTAACCACAGACGGTGTTTTATCCATGTGAAAACATCTCAATTTGGTCAATTAAAGAACTAGTCACGCTAAGCTTTTTAACCAGAACCACAGTGTTTAATATTGGCTGGTAAATAATTGGTTTCATCATTAGTTTGTATGGTAGAATTAAAAAGCATGCCTGGTAGAGTTATCTCCTTTGAAAACTTTAAAAAAACGCCAGGAAAAGAGATGGTCAGTATCTTAGTGTAAAAGGTGAGAATTTGAATGCTCCATAAAAATTGAAGTGGTTATCAGAAAAATATCAGGATAAAGTTCAGAGATATTGGTAAGACACCTTAGCTAAGCATAAAAGTAAGTACACATTTATGAAAGATATGAGGTGAGAGGCTCTGTCCAGTGATAGCATTTTCAATCTTATAGGAATCCCAATATCCCATTAATTAATACTGGATAAATTATATAATTACCTCTCTTCATATTTTAATAGAAAGAATTTGATATACTTGTATGAATCTGAAGGTAAGGTGCTCATTTTTGTGGGCACTAATTTGTCCACAATGGACTTGTGCCTAGTTGTATTGGGAAACTGGGAGCATTCACATTATAGTTCTGAAAGAAGCAGGTATTATCAGGATTAAAGCTCCCAGAAAGATGACAAACTATTGAAAATTAAGATATTGACCTTCATATGTTCTTTCACCTCTCACAACAGTTAGCCCAATGCCTTGGTATATTCTATAAGAATTTTGAAATCATTTAACTATTAATTACTTCCTGGAAGTCCCAAACTGGAAGATGAGATGCCACCTAATAAGAAGGATAAAACTTTGTGATTAAAACTTACCTTGCTATTTTAAACAACTTTAAATCTAATACGCCCAGTTAGAGAGTGTGTGTGTATGTGAGTGTCGTGTATGCTTATCAAAATATTATTAGTGTCATTTCTTCCTATAACATAAAAAAATAAAGTATACCTAGTTACAGTGGCACATACATATAATCCTAGCTACCTAGACAGCTAAAGCAGGAGGATCACAAGTTCAAAGTCAGCCTGGGCAACTTAGCAAGACTCTGTCTCAAAATATAAAATGGCTGAAGATGTAGCTCAGTGGTAGAGTGACCCTGGGTTTAATCCCCAGTACTAGGAAAAAATTATAAATATACAATTTTTAGTATTATTATAAAGTCTGTATCCCTGAAGAAATTTAGAAAAAGAATTATATATTAACCTTTTCACCTACATGAAAAAAGGAACTTGAACTCACTGATTTCTAACCTAATAAGGTAAATCAGGCCATCTTCAGTCTTATGGGTGTTAGAATTTCATCATAGAAACATCTATTGCCAGGCTTGGTGACACAGGTATGTGATCCCAACACTTGAAAAACAAAGGTAGAAAGAGCCCTTGATACTAGGAGTTTCAAGACCAGCCTGGACAACATAGTAAGACCACATGCCCCCCAAAAGGGGACCTGCTTACTTAGGTATATCCGCAAAAGAGGTGAAATTATCTTTTTTTAGCAATCTCTAGAAATAAAAGATTCTCATTGTGACGAATGGTGTGTGGTCCATATAAAGGATGCAATGTGATATAAGAGAAGGATTATGGCATTTGGAGTAAGAAATATTGGGTTTGAATGTGACCCTGTTGTTTAACAGATGGCATTTTAAACTGCTTAAGTTTAATCTATGAAGAATGATATTTACTATATCCTCTGCAGATATGTTCTAAGGGTCAAATACATGTATATCATCCAGCAAAAAGTATTTTAAAGAATCATTGTGTGTTGGTTATAGGGGTATGACCTTTCCTAGGTTCAGTTCCCACACTTGTTACAGTTTCCTCCTTGTGGAAAAGGATATAGTGAAAGGAACTTCTCAGAATTATTCTGAGAATGAAATAGATAATGCATGCAGTATCCATAATACTGGCTGGCCCTTAGTATGTATTAAAAATTTATTAAGTGGCCTTTTTTAAGGGAAGGACAAATGGATTTGCAGCAAATGAATACTACTCTGGTGATGGAAAGAAAGTGCATGAGAACAGACCACAGAGATCTGTATGTGCCCAGAGGAGGAAAACCTAGGGTGCTGAGTGGAGTGTGTGTTTCTCTGATAGTACATGCAATGCTCTGTGATCTGAGGTACTCACTGTGCCACTCAGCCATCGTCTACAAGATCTCCCTATTGTCACACATCAGATTGATGACAGAAGTGGGGTCAGTCAAGAGGAATAACCAAAAGCTGAAAATCCTCTTTTCTAAAGGCTTCCAGCCCATTCCAGAAACAGGACAAAATACCAGGCCTTCCTGAGTATAGACCTCTCTCTCCTGGGCAGCATGTGCCCATAGGCTATCTGGCCTACGGGTAGCACAGGATTCTGCCTAATGGTTCTGAGGCCTCAGAAAGTTGACAGTGATCTTTTGCTGTCTGGCTTTGCTCTTGTCACCAGAAAGACAGATCTGATGTACAGAGGCCACAGCAAGGCCACAGTGCTTACCTGTCTTCTTTCTGGTTGTCTGGTGGGCCAGCCAGTTTTACCTAAAAGGATGGTGAGGAGATTGTAGCCTGCATTCTGCAGCATTGCTCTAGTGCCCTTGTCTTCTTTGTTATGTAGATTTTAGTAGAGTGGGGAGAATAAGCAGGTTTGGCTTCAGAGGAAGTGAGGTTTGAATCCTAGTTGTGACCAAGTGACTTACACTTACTAATAATCCTCAGTTACCTTGTCTTCTAAATGGGGATGTTGGTGCCTACTTCAATGGGTATTTTGCTGATTAGGTAAGGTAATTTATATAACTTAGCACTGTTTCTGGTATATAACAGTAGTCTAATGAATTATTTACAAGAGACAATGCATTTATAAAATCTTTATAAATTTAAAATTAGGTTGCCGTAAGTCTCAGTAAGAACATTTGAACTATACAGCTTCTGTGAGAAGAATTGGAGGATTCAATATCTGTTGATGACTGTTGATGACTGGGCCATCCTTAAATCCTATTGGAATAGGAAACAGTATTTTTAAATAAAAATAAGTAGTGTTAATTGATCAAGTACTTGTGTATTTCATAGTCCCTCGCTTTGCAGGTTCCAACACTTTGTCTAAGATTTGATAAAGAGTTGGGGTTGTGGCTCAGTGGTAGAGCCCTCACCTAGCACAGGCGAGGCCCTGGGTTCGATCCCCAACACCACAAAAAAATAAATAAATAAAGATATTGTGTCCAACCACAACTAAAAATAAAATGAATGAATGAATGAATGAATGAATAAAAGGATTTGGTAAACCATATTCATTATCACTTATCCCAAACCACCTGGAGTTGATCATAATTCTCAGAGTATAGTTGTGTTCAAAATGCTCACATTCTCCTGGGAATGAAGAGCCTTTACTCCTTAGTAAATTTCTGTCACTAAAGTCGAAAGTAGTTTCTGATCTAATTCCAAGGAAATCCTCATAAAACTATCCGTGTTCTGTTTATCACTAAAAAGTTCTCGCTGTCTCTACATTTGACAGGGGTCAGACTCTCGATATCATGAGGCATGCCTTAGTCACATGTCTCCCACTGACTACACAGGAGTGTAATCTGTTGGCTACACGGGAGAATTAAGATTGAAAACAAAAGAAGGCCCTTACTTTTTTTCATATTAGTTTAATGACAACTCAAATTCAGCACTAGCATTTTTTTATCTGTCACTACACACATTTTTTATCATTTTAAAACAAAAATATCAGCAGGGGTGGGGTGTCACATAGCTGTAATCTCAACTGCTTGGGAGGTTGGGGTGGGAGGATCACAAGTTCAAGGTCAACCTGGGTAACATAGTGAGACCTTGTCCCCACCCCTCCACCCCCACTCCCCCACCCCCCCCTCCCTGGCAAAAAAAAAGTCATGCAAATGGAAGAGAGAGAAAGGACAACTTTGGTTTAGCTATTAGTTTTTTAAATCCTTAGGTTAATAACTTTAGTCTCAATTTAGAACTCAGGTTTTAACTGTTCTTTTAAAACCTTTGGAAGGACTACCTTGAAATCAGATTAGAAAGAAAAACATAACAGTGTTCTAAAGCTTATTTAGAAGACATGGTCGTAAAGATAGTCCTGAAGTTTTCTGTGCGAGAAGTAGTTTCTTTCATTGCACTTACTAAACATAGCATTATTTGTGAATCTAATCACACAGATCTCCAAGAAAGGGACAGATGACAGGTTGTTGAATGGTTTGATATCTAACTTCTGTCAAAAGCATTGCTAGGACTGCTGGGACTTGAGGGATGAGGGAAGGATCTTTTTACCTTTATTTCTTGTCCTTACCAGGTTAGATGCTTGAAAGTTAGGCAACCAGATTATTTATAAGCAGTGGGAAGGCTGCCCAAGAACATGATTTAACTTTGTGCTTTTACTCAAGATAATTTAAACCATTATCTTGTACTTGGTAAAACTGTTATTAAATATGCCACCTATAGAGTTGTTCACTATCTTCAGAAAACCCACAGAGAACAATCTTCTCAGACAGTTGTAGGAAAACATATATCCTTGCTGTCAATCTACTGTGCTTTTCCTTTAGAAATAATAAAAAGCTTTGTAAGCCATTTTTTTTCTCCTTCTTGACACTTAGGAAGCTCAGAGCTAAATTGTTGACTTAGTTTTTTTGTTAGAAATATTTCCCCATTGATGTTTCCTCTTGATAACTAGATTCTTGGGCTTTTTTATTTGTTTTAATGGCTTTATGATTTATCTCAATTTATTATAAACTGCCAAATCTTTTTGGAAGTGAGGTATAATAGAAAATAAAATATTTATTAAATTCTTATAGTAATTTAGAATAATGTTTTTCAAACAGTGGATTTCAAGATGACATTTCACATTTTCTTTAATTTTTTTAATTCTATGGCAAGAAAAATAAGAAAATAATTATCAGTATATGTATTCATATCATATTTTTTAAACTTACCAGTAGTTTTTTTCATCTTTTTATTACATTTTATAACATACATAAACAATTGAACCCTATCTTTGTGTAGTTAGTTCTGTTTCTAACTGTAATAATTTGTATTGATTTAGGCTTCACCTGAAAGATCTACAAGAACTCAGCAAAAAGAATTTCAGACTTACATTTTGGATAGTGTAATGGACCATTTGCTTGCAGCTGATGTGTTATTGGGTAATTTTGTATTTTATTTTTATTTTATAAAAGTGCCTGTAGTCTTCTCCTTCCTTCCTTTCTCTATATAAGTCCTCAGTCTCTCTTTTTTAAATTTGTCTCTTTTCTCCTTCCTTTTTAGTCTAGCTTTCTTATACTCAGTATTATATTTGTGAGTTATCCATGTTGTTGCATGTAGCAAGAGTCTATTTTCATTACTATTATAATATTCTATCATATGAACATATAAATTTATTTATATCTCTGTTGATAGATATGTAAAAGTTTCCTGGTAGACACAGTTCTAAATAAAGTTCTATAAATATGCTTGTTATATAGACCACATATATGTACTTAATGAGTGAGTTGTTGGTACATACATGTATTCTTCAGGATGTGTTCTAGGACATAAAGTACAAAACATATTGGAGTATGTTTTTTCAATATGTCTATATCTATTTACAATAAAAATAGATAATTATAAAACAGTATTTTACAATGGAGTCACCATTTATAAATAAAAAAGAATTCATAGGAATACAAAAAGTAATGATTTAGTTTACATGCTCCTTTGAGTTACTGGTGATAATATAAATCTTAGAATCTCTATGCTATTAAATTAACATTTTTTCCAGAGCCATTTACAAGGAAGTCTTTGGTATTATCTTGACAGGTAGCTGTGCATTTAAAGCTAAGTGTCAAGCTTTACTTTTGTACCTGTTAGTATCAGTTGAGATCAGTCATACCAATGAAGGCATAAAATGAAGAGTTCTGCTTAGGGGGGCAATTTAGAGTGAGGTGGGAATAATAATCACATTCAGTTAGAACCTCCAAAGTTTCTACAGAGGGACTTGGAGGGAGTGTTCTGCTTAGGAAGGACTAGGAGGATTATCTCAAAGCAGGACGTATATAGCAACACACTGAGGACCTTGGAATAACCTTAAAAAGAGGCAGAGCTAATTGCAATCATGGAGGGGGCTACCGGTCCCCCTTGGCCCCACCACCACTGAAGATACTTGATTTTCACAGTCTTTCTGAAGCTCTCTTTTGCCTATATTAGTTAATTGCTATTAAAGTTATACCCCCCCAAAATGGAAAATTTTGTTTGATAATGGGTTTTTTTTTAACCCTTAACTAATAAACTGACTTAATTTTTCTCTTAAATTAAGATGCTCTGTCACTGACAACCTCAGTTGAAGAACTATTTGCTTATCAAACACTGTCTTTAGGTGTAAGGGACTTCACAGGGAGTCTCAATTTATAGCACTTTTATCCTGATGAAACTGTTTCTTCCAGTATTTACTCAGATTTGTAATTATGAACACCATTTTCTTCAAATAGTACCTAAGAGCTTGCTGTGGTCATGTTTCTTAAGTCTTGTAGATATACTCATTTTCCTTAGCATGATTTCTTTGAGGATTTGATCTTGTGTATCAATTTTCTTAGACATTTTTTTTCTACTGGAATTTAGGGGAAGATGCATCTCTGCCTATTACCAGTGGAGGAAGCTACCAGGTATTGGTGAACAATGTGTTTTATTTCACACAACGTGTGGTGGACAAGCTTTGGCAAGGCATGTTCAACAAAGAATCTAAACTTCTTATAGATTTTATAATTCAACTAATTGCACAGGTAATCAGTTGTCACTATTAGTTGTAGAGTACGTTTTCCTTTTGAAAAAACTTTGCCTGTAGTGTAAAAATTGTTGTAAATAAGGTAATGAATGTTAACATTCAATATAAAGCTAAGCTTATTAAAAGTGAATATAAAATATACTTTTAACTGCCCCCTCCACCAACAGCCTAGTGCCACTGTGTCCCTTGTAAAGTTGCCTGGCTCTCTCAAGCTGGGTCAGTCTCTTGCTGACCTCCCCACTGGTATCTGTCTTTGCTACCCAGATGCATTTAAATACCTTACATTAATACAGTCTAATAGTTTTTTACAGTAAAAAAAAAAAAATCAGTGTGCAAAGGCCTATACAGCATGTAAAGCTGATATTAAAAGAAACATTCTCTTATTAATCTAATCTTTACAAATTCCTTTGTAATCCATGTTCCTTTGAAGACATCACTTTTTCTTCCTTGTGCATGCTGACTAAGGAATATTGGTCACAATATAACATAGAATCACACTAGAATTATACTCCTATTGCCATGTTTTATTAATATGTACAGATGTATAGGAGCTCACCTGTCACTTAAGAATTTTCTAAGAGATACATTTGCAATTAAGCCAAAAAGTGAGTCTCACGCTCAACTAAGGGATGAAACCAAGATAAAAATTTAGGTGCTTTTTCAAGTGATTTTGACTAGAGATCATTCTTTCTAACAAAATTTGTTTGTGGCTCTCCTTACTGGAAGCTCTCTTTTTATGTAGCCATTATTAAATTCATTATTGTGCTGTATGGGTTCTGAACTCCATAGTAGCAAGAGGTTTTAACTTGGCGTTCCTCGTACTTAGCATGCATCTGTTACATGACAGATAACCAAACTTTATGTCGGAATGATAAGCAGCTTTTTCATTTTTGTTCTTTTTACTAAAAAGTATCTTTTGTGTCTTTAGTCAAAGAGAAGATCACAGGGATTGTCTCTGGATGCAGTTTATCACTGCCTCAATAGAACCATCTTGTACCAGTTCTCGCGGGCACACAAAACTGTCCCTCAGCAAGTTGCTCTCCTTGATTCGCTCAGGGTCCTTACTTTGAACAGGAATTTGATCCTGGGGCCTGGGAACCATGACCAGGAATTCATTAGCTGTCTGGCTCATTGCTTGATTAATCTACATGCTGGGAGGTAAATCATTTAGGTTTAATTTGTCATCTTGAATTTGTCTTCAATATTATTTTACTAGAATTCTTTGTTTTACTTTTTTGATAATAGCATTTCTTTTTCCCCTTAATCTGGTTTAATACTTTATGCAAAAGATAATAAATGATAAGTGTTATTTTTTGTAATGAAATAATGACTATTTTTCTTCTTTTTAAAAAAAATATTTAATTTAGTTGTAGGTGAACACACAGTGTTTATTTTTTTTATGTGGTGCTGAGGATCAAACCCAGTGATTCACACATGTGAGGCAAGCACTTGACCACTGAGCTATAGCCCCAGCCCCTATTTTTTCTTCTAATATACTTTTCCGCATCTTTAAATTTTTCCATAATTACCATATGTCACATAATTTTTAAAAGAAAGTATGTTTTTAAAACAAATAAAATGGACACTTTTGGAAGCTAAGAAAAGTTTGAGGCAATGTTACATGTTAAATGGGTAAAATTGGTATTTTTCTATTGTTTGCGCTGACAGATATTTCTGTGATGTCTCCTAGAGGCCAATCATTGAAGTAAGGACTGGGATAAAGTGTAAGACAGACTCTGTGACAGCCATTTTAAAGGGAAAACATAACTAAGCAAAACCCAGTCATCTGCACTGAGTGCTCTGGTAGCAATAGCACACTGCCTTAGGAGCATATATTAGGAATCCCTAAGCTGGAAGAAATACCTGCTGATTTGCAACTTGGAGAGAACAAGAGAACAGGGATAAGTGCCGCAGGAAAAAAGTAGCTGTCTTTGTGATTGCCCAGAGGAAAGAAAGAATGTGGCACATTTGGGAAACTGCTAATATTGCACTACTGGTGGAGCAAAGAAGGGTGATGTGAGACCAGTGACAACATAGGCATATTAGGAGATTAGTCTTAGCTAATTGATCTTTTGGTAATTTTTAGATAAAGATGTTACACTAACCAAAAGCATCTCAAATATTGAGATGGTGTGATGCTATAGATTAATTACATTTTGTCAAGTGGATTTGTGAATCATTCCTTAGAAAATGGTATATTCATGACAAGCTAGAAGTTCTGTTTTATACATCTGCTGAATGTTTGTCAACAACAGAACTTTGTGAGGGAGCTAGCATTTACATATGTCTACAGAGTAACTCTTAGTCATTATAATTTGTAAACTATAATCACTGTCATCAAATGTTTAAATTGACTGAATTTTTCAGCAACGTGGATGGATTTGGACTGGAAGCAGAAGCCCGCATGACTACATGGCACATTATGATCCCCTCTGACATTGAACCAGATGGTGGATACAGCCAAGATATTAGTGAAGGTAAAATAACCTCATTCTTTTGGATGAGTTGTCATTGTTTCATTTCCAGTTTTTAAGATAAAATTTAAAAATTGACTTCAGAAAATGCTAACATGAACAATTACTCTTCCACTAGCACAACCTGTATGTAAACCACCATGCCTATAAAGGATCCACTTACACCATGATTAGTACAACACTAACCCCTAACACTTATAACCCCCAACATTTCCCAGGAACACTAGTGAGACTTGATGGTACTACACTTGCACAAGTAAAAATGCAAACACAAACTTGGTGTTTATTATAAAAAGAATGACCTGTTGGTAAGTTTAATACCTACCCACACTAGAGGAGAGCATAGCTTGAGACAGGTTGTCTATAGTGTGTATGGTAGGGGGTACTCAGGATTGAACTCAGGGGCACTCGATCACTGAGCCACATCCCCAGCCCTATTTTGTATTTTAGTTAAAGACAGGGTCTCACTGAGTTGCTTAGTGCCTCATTTTTCCCGAGGCTGGCTTTGAACTCGTGATCTTCCTGCCTCAGCCTCCCAAGCTGCTGGGATTGCAGCATGCACCACCACACCCTGCTACAGTACCATTTAAATTTTCTTTTTAAAATCGAGTTTCCCCACTGAACTCTTGAGTAGTGCACGTTGAAATATTCATGTGGATTAATGTCTTATTTCCACGCACTTGGTGCTGAAGGTGAGATCATTATGCTTATGTTTGTCTCCCAGCAATACTGTGTAATCGTTTTGCATATGGTTTTATCTCTCCCAGGTTCAGCACTCATTCTTTTTTTCATTCATTCTTTTAATTATTAATTTATTATCTGTTTTTTTTTAACCCAAATTTCTTGAACCCCAGAATGAGATTTGCCTGAGAACCGAGTTTTCACCCCTGCAAGAAACAGGCAGTCTAGAACACTAGTTTCCAAAGTGATGTTCTCAGACAAGCACTATCAGGATTATTCAGGAACTTGGTAGAAACACAGATTCTCTGGCCCGGTTCAGATCCACTAAATCAGAAACGGGGTGACAGGCAGCAGTGTGTTCTCCCCCACTCTACGCAGTGATTCTGTGCTTGATGAAGATGTCTGGAGAAGTCAGGCTAATTATCAAGGAATCCAAAGGAAGACTGAATTTAATAGTAAAAATCTTTTTAAAAATATTTATTATTACTTCCCTTTTGAAAGATATTCAACAACTAACTGAGTTTTGCACTCACCTTAAATATTCAGATCTGAAAATTACTCTTAAAGGACCAGGGAATGTAACTGTGTGGTAGAGCACTTGCCTAGTATACCAGAGGCCTTGAATTCAGTCTTCAGCACCACCAAAGAAGAATAAAAAGAACAAAAGCAAAGGAAAAGGGGATACATACACATTTAAGAATCTAGAAAATGCTAGATTATTAAATTTGTGATTTCCAGTTTTATAAATAAAAATATAGTCGTTTTGCATGAATGTAAAGATTGTTTAAAAGTTTTCCAAGAGACCAACCACCTGGAAACTTAATTTTGGTTTTGTGAATAACCCTTTTCACTGTGCTAGATATAATATGAGCATTTTTTTTTTAAACAATTAAGTACTATTGTTGAAATTCCCAGATAGGAAACATGAAGAAATATAAGAACTAATTTTATATAGTGTTTCCATCATTCTCTTTTGATTTATTTATTTATTTTTAAATTTTCTAGGGCGTCAGCTTCTCATAAAAGCTGTCAACAGAGTGTGGACTGAGTTGATACATAGTAAGAAACAAGTCTTGGAGGAGCTTTTCAAAGTAACTCTGCCTGTGAATGAAAGGGGTCATGTGGACATCGCTATAGCAAGGCCACTCATAGAAGAAGCTGGTTTGAAATGCTGGCAGAATCATTTGAGTAAGAAGACCTACTGAGACCATTAAGCCTATTGTATATGAGTAAACAAATTTGTAATTAAGGATACTATGATGGCAGTACAAATGAAAATTTATATTATATAACCATTCTAGAATGATTATGCTGATAGTTGAATTTCTTTTTTGTCCTTTTTTGTTCCCCCCTTTATCTAAGGTGTATTATACTTCAGGCATTTATGAGTTAAGGAAAATATACATTGCTCACAGCTTTAATATAGCTACTGTCATAGTCATGGGTCTTTTATCTATAATTCTGAAATTATTAAAACCCTGAACACCCAGGATTTTCTCATTATTTTGGTGTTAAAACTCACTTGATACCAAAACCTCACTTACATTTCTTTTATAGTGCTTGGTACAATGTTCATATATTTTGCTGCAGTATGTTAATATATTAAATTATGCTTTACTACCCTAGACCCTCTGGTGATATTATATGTATACAGTGTATATACTGTATAGCCTTTTAAAAATCCAAAACATTCTAAGTTCCAAAATATACCCAAAAGTTTTAGGTAAGGATTATGAATTGTTAAACTAATTTTGCATATTATTGTAGATCTGTGAAATGTCAACCAAATATAAGTTCAGCTAGTACAATAATCCTCAAGCAGCCATTATTCAACAAGATAACCAGGAAATAATTTTTGTGATATCTAAAAAAAAAAAAAAAATGCCTGTATGTGTAGGAACATGCTGCTTTTGACACCTACAGCAGTGTCCCTTATCTACTGGGATATGTTTCAAGACCCCCAGTGGATGCTTGAAACCACAGATAATCCCAGACCTTACGTATGATATGTTTTTTCCTGTATGCACATACCTGTGATAAAGTTTAATTTATGTATTACGCAAGGCAAGATATTAGCAATAATAGCTAATAAGAAAATATAATAATTACAACAATATATTGGAATAAAAATTACATGATCTCCCAAAATAACTTGATTTCTCATTGCATTACAAATAATATTTTCAAACTGCAGTTGCCTGCAGGTAACTCAAACTACAGAAAGCAAAACCAAGGATAATGAAGGGGCTACTGTACAGGGTTGTGGTTCATAACCATCATAAAAATATTAAAAATAAGACTGATTATTACATGGAAAAATTGTAAAATAATCTAATTTTAATTTCATAGCCCATGAGAAGAAATGCATAAGTCGAGGAGAAGCATTAGTACCCACCACACAATCCAAATTGTCCCGTGTCAGCAGTGGCTTTGGTCTTTCCAAGTTAACAGGATCAAGAAGGAATCGAAAGGAAAGTGGTCTTAATAAACACAGTCTTTCTACCCAGGTACTTTGATTAGTTTTATTGATGGTATCATAATATCTTAGTACCATATACTGTTAACATACATGAGCAGATAATTTGAAATGAAACATTTCTGTTTTGCTCTAGAAGAGATGTAGAAGTAAGCTAGGTTACAGGAACTTCTCCCATTTTATTATGATAAAGTTATATTATGAGCACTGTATATTTATATTTATTTTATAACTGAACCTAATATGAGATTCTGATGCTATAAACAGACTATATGTATTTTCCCAAATTTTCCAACATTTAATAATATTATTACTGGTGATTATATAAATATAAGGAATAGTAGACATAAGACCTTTTACTTTTTATAATCTTATTATAAGTACTTGCAACTGATTAAAAACAAACAAATTTATCTACCTCCACCATTAACTTCTTCTTTACTATACTTTCTCACCATACCAGAATTTCAGTGGCATCTGCGGAAAGGGTCTGGGAGAAATGGTGTATCAGCCATCTCCTGTGACTGGTTGGGTTTTATAAGAAGCAAACTGCAATGGCACTCACTGTGCAGGTTGTTCACCTTCTGATGCCCTTGGGCATGATGCCTGTGGAAGGGAGGAGAAGGGAGCAGAATTGGACAGAGGAAAATGCCAGGCTGCAGTGCAGAATTAGTGACAGCCTCTGCTGACTAAGTGAAGTTTCAGAGCTAAAATGGCCTGTCAAGAGTTGAGCTGGAATGGCAGTCTTCTCACACCCAGCTCAGCCAGCCTTTGACTGTGGGGTGCTCTCTACATCTGAGGCCATCCCTGAAGGTGCTGACAGTGCTCCAGAGCTGGGCAGCAACCCCGGGGGGAGGACAGCAGATCTGGGTCCACCACATAAGCCTCTATTAGATTGAGATTCATCTTTCAGTATTTGCTTTTGTCTTCTGTAGTAGGCACTTTTGACAGCATTTTAACTGATTGTTCAGCATTGTTTTCAATGCTAGTTAAATTGTTTTTTCCAAGGAATTCTGTGAAATATTCAGACTCTTTTTCCATTCATTGTTAGGAGATTTCTCAGTGGATGTTTACTCATATCGCTGTTGTTCGTGACTTAGTTGATACACAGTATAAGGAATATCAAGAGGTAAGAATTCATAATCAAAGCAGTGGTGTGTTTTGCAATTCTTGGGTGTGAAAGGACTCTATTTCTCCTGATATTTTCCTACCTGTTTTATGATTATGTTGGTGATGATGAAATTAATTATTCTGACCATCAGCTGTTTTGGCCCTTGATTATAATATAGAAAAATTTGAATTTCCTATAAGTAAACTGCATTGAACAAAGCAACAAACAACTAAATTTTGATAAAATTCACTGCTGACATAATACACACCTTTGTTCCTAATAAAATTATAAAAATCATCCTTCTCTTTCTGACTTTTAACAAAGAGATTGTGAAAATAGGCATAAAACTCTCTGAAATGTTTCTTAAAATTGTAAAAAATTATGAGCCAAATAAAATTCTTTTTTTACTATAAGTAAAAACTAAATTCAGCAAACTCATTGTATTCATAATTACTCAACAGCTTATTCTAAATACTCTGTTTACAAAGCATCTGTTCTAAGTCAATCAAAAATTTATAAATGATTAACTGATAATGTTTTATGGACATAATACTGGGTCCCTAGTATTATCATCCCCACAAGGAACATACAAGTACTGTTATGTAATTTCATGATTGTTCACTCAGTACATTTTTACTAGTTTTATATAAAAAGATCTTCAAGTTTAAATTGTATACTTCTATTCTGTGAATCATTAAGTAAATTAATTATAATCACCTAATGTTAAAACATTTTGTTTGGCAGATAGCAAGAATTTAGACCAAGTCATGAAAAGTGGTGTGTCTAGGTCATTGACTAATAGAAAATGAATTTCCTTTTATTTTTATATGAAAATCAAGCTTCCTTTTGTGCTTTCATATTTATATTCTTTATCTAAAATTTTTGAAATGTTTACCAAGTTTCTGTTGGCTCTATTTCTTGATCTGGTTTTCCTAGATTTCTCCCATATATGTTGGAGGAGTTATTTTATATTTTTGGAGTATAGGATTTATCCTTATCATACCATATTTGTACTTGGTACAATTTTTACTATTTCAGTGTATTTTCATAAGTAATATTACCATTTTTCCTGTGCCAGAGAAATAAGTTCCTTCCACTTTCTATTCTAGTAATATTGCATATACTAACCTGTACCTGTCTGCAATTTACTTTATGCTAAAATAATCACCTTGGATCACCACAACACCACATTCTCAGAGAATCATTAGTTTTTTTACCTATATATAAATGTACTTTTATGATACTGATTGAAATGTCATGGACTGCATTTGTTCCCAAATAATTAATTTTGTTGTCTGTAGGCTTTCCATTGTTAGTTATGCTTTTGCTTGAAAACCAACCTGAATTCTTTCCCCCATAGCGTCAGCAGAATGCTCTGAAGTATGTGACAGAGGAGTGGTGCCAGATTGAGTGTGAGCTGTTGCGGGAGCGAGGGTTATGGGGTCCCCCCATTGGTTCCCATCTAGACAAATGGATGTTGGAGATGACAGAAGGACCCTGCAGAATGAGGAAAAAAATGGTGCGAAATGATATGTTTTATAACCATTACCCCTATGTGCCAGAAACAGAACAAGAGACAAATGTGGCGGTAAGTATACAGAATTAAAATTCACAATACCTTTTTTGAGTCTTTCTCTTTATTTGTAAGCATTTTCCCATATTAGGTCCATTACCTGCAATTGCTAATTTAGAAAATCCAATTGCTTATATTAAATTGATTGGGGTGGGGGTGGGAGATACAGCAGTGTAACAAATAGGGAAATATAGTAAGCATTGTAATATAGTAGATTACCAACTCCAGAGCCAGACTGCCTGGATATAAACTCTGGTACTGCCAACTTACCATCTGGGGATGGGGCATGGAATCTCTAGATTTCTGTTTCCTTATTCTTGAAAAGGAAAAATAATATTCACCTCTTAGGACTTTTAGAGGATTAAGTTAGTTAAAATTACCAAAGTGTTTAGAATTATATCAGTCACAGAATACATACCCATCACCTCTTGTTCCCCCATGCCAAACCCTACCTCCATTTATCTCATACTTATTGGTTCAGCCTGTCTAGAAGCTACTTAGAATCAATGCATCTATCAGTAACAGATGGATAAAGAAAAGTGATATGTGGTGGAATACTACTCAGCCTTTAAATAGAGGGACATCCTACCATTGCCACAATGGACCTGGAAGACATACTAAATGAAATATGCCAGACACAGGACAAATTCCATATGATCTCACTTAATGTGGAATCTAAAATAATTAAACTCAAGCCAAGAGTAGAATAGTGGTTACTGGAGGCTGGTGAGTTGGGGGATAAGGAAACATTGGTCAAATAGGACAGAGTTTCAGTTAGACAAGAGGAATAAGTTTTTTGAACTCTATTTCTGAGCATAGTTACTACAGTTAATAGTTAATTTTCCAGTAACCTTAGTATTTTTGCCTTATCTGTATCTTTTTCTTCTTTGTTTATAAAAGTATAAACTTTCCTATCAGATTAAAATAAAGTAACTTATTCAGGGTTTGGGGTTCACTTATTAACATCAGTATTTTACCTAAGCCAAGGAGTTCCCAGCCTTGTGAAATCAGAACAACTATGCATGCACCATGTGGAACTTGTTTTTTGACAGATGGGTTACATATTGGACATGTAGAAGCAGTTGAGAAATGTTGGAGATACATTTAATTACACTAGGAGTGTGGAGGGAAAGGGGACACAGTTCTAAGAATGTAGAATTCATGCAACATACATAGTTCACATATAAGGCAAGTTAATCTGTGGGAATGAATTTTCTAAATGAATAATTGGGGTTTGGGTTTTGGTAGTTCAATATCTTGCAAATTTGAAAGGCCGTTAAATACCACATTTATCTTATGGAATATGCAATCCAGCAATGTTGAAAACAGAAAATATCAAAAAGTGGAAGCATCTGTTAACCCACTGACTTAAGGCATAGAATTAAATAAATAGAACTAATGTGGTCTTGTGCCACATAACAATGTTTCAGTCAAAAATGGACCAAATATACAATAGTGGTCTCCTAGAGTATATTGCCTACTGTCATTGCAGCCATCTCAGTGTATGATGCTCTCACAAGGATGAAATTGCCTAGTGGCACTTTCCTCAGACGTGTTCCTGTCATTAAGTAATACGTGACTGTGTTCACAGAGCACAGTGAGCTGCTTATGCAGTTTCATTTAAATCTCATAGAGGTGCACTGAAATTCACTTCATATTACCCTAACTTAACAGATAAGAAACTGACCTAGAAAAGTTAAGAAACCCCTTTTCTAGATTTCTGTTGGGGCTATACAGTCAAAAATACAGTAAATCCCAAAGTTGGATTTGAGAATAGTAACTGGTCCATTTTGTTCTATTGGTTTATCTCATTACCTGTTCAGCAATTTATCTTATTTTTATGAATTTCAATGTGAGTTGAATGTCAAAAACACTTCTCTGTGCATATGATTAACTAGAGTTCAATATTTTTATAATTCTTTTTTGAGATAATTTTATATGCAATGAAATACACAAATCTTTAATGTACTATTCAGTAATTTTCTTTGTTTTTTAATGGTATATTTCCTGATCTGTTTTTGCCTTTAAAATACCTTTATTGTATTGTGGTCCTTCAGTAAGTTTTAGTAAATATGTATACTACATTTATGGCACCAAAGCCCTTCCCAAAATAGAGAACACTGACATGTATTTTAAAAATTATCCTTCAATATAAGTATAGTGTTTGCTTTTAAAGAGATTCATTAAAACCAAGTGAAGTTTTTAAAAGTATGCCAGTGGTATGGTGCTTGTTTTGCCTAAGAAAGCAAGCATCTGTGAAAACATTTGCTTTTCATGTGTACTGTACAGAATGGTACAGCAGTCATCTGCAGATTTATACCATGAAAGAACGAACACTTGAAGTCATTCTTGGCTGTATATTGTCTCTGTAGCTACCTGTGTGTTTATGTGCATAAGCATAAGACAACATCTCTGCAGAAACTGCCTTCCTGATAATCAAGTGACTACCTAGCTTTTGGTTTGGGGACTGATGATTCTGTCTACCTTCTGCTTTCAGCCTTTCCTAGGTGGTATCTATAGAAATAGTCAAGGGAGTATAACTTCTTGGGCTTCAGGGGCAGGTGTATATTTTACTAACAAGCACTTAGTGCTCTTTGTGTGAGAGTGTATAGTAGATGGTAGCTTAAACTACACAGTTGCTCGGTTCTATCACAGACCTGGGGGTGTTTGTAGGGAAAGGAAGATTGAAGACCCTCGCTAGCCAGAGGATAAATTAGTCAGATTGTGGGGGTTTTCCCTTTTGAAAACTACAGAGTTGCCTGTAAACCATCCATGACAATAGTATCCTGTGCCATTTAAGAGTTTGTTCCGTTCACTAGTACTCAGACTTTTGAAGTTTTTAAGATTTAGTTAAAACTACTTCTGATCAAAGAGAAAATAACCACAAGATACTGATTAGATTGAGCTGCTGAGATACCATGTTCATTTCTTTTGAGTGAATGAGTACATCTTCCATACTCTGTGCAGTCCTAAAGAAAATTTTATTTTTGTGTTCTTCTTTATGTATTTTTTTTCTGATGTGTCTGTACTTAATACCCTGTTTTCAGTCTGAGATCCCAAGTAAACAACCTGAGACACCTGATGATATCATTCCTCAAAAGGTAAAACACAAATTACCACAAAAGAGTGCAAACTACTTGCAGTTTTTTTGTTTTTCTGTTTTGTTTTGTTTCGTGCATGGTAGACTAGACTAACTTAACAGATTGACTTTCAATTTGTTCTAAGTTCCTGAGAGTTGAAAAGTTGGTGTCATTCCTGCTGATAAACCCTGTGTTACTCTTTCTAGGCTTTGTTCTAATTAGCTCTTTCTGGGGTTTGCCTGCTGCTCACTAACAGGCTGAATAGTCACTGTTTTCACTGTAAAGTATGTCTGGCTTCACGCATAACTAACATATCACGAGGCATGTTAGTAACGGGCAGCCTGGCATCTTCAACTTTTTTATTTCAATTATTTAATTCTTCTAGATATTTTGAGAATGTAGGAATATCCCTTTTACAATTATTGTTTCACTGTTTCAAGGAACTAATGGAAACTATGTATAGTTGCTGTCTAAATTTTGATTTTAATTTATTTTAGTTGGTATATAAAAATTTGTCTTATTTTCTGGAAAGGTTCAATACATAATTCAGTAAAAAAAAAAAAAAGAAAAGTGTACCTCAAATAATTTTTGAAAAAATCCTTATAGGTCCAGTTTATATGTGTGTATGAAATCAGTAAAAAAGCAGATGTTGTCCCACGTCTATTAATTCATTGTCTTGCCCATCACTAACTATGCCATCATCTTGTTAAATATCAACAGTTTTGAGTTGACGATGATTGTATAGCTCATATAAAAGAATTGTTATGGTACAAAGTGTACTGCCATTTTTTTCATTTAAAAAATATTGCACTGATCTTATTAATTTGCACATCAGTTTGATCCTGCCATGGTGTAATATTATTTTACATCATTTTAATACTTTGCTAGGTCATGTAATATTTTTCAGTTTTCATTAGCTGCATATCATCCCTCAGTTTATTTGCAGCTCTCTTAATTCTATGAGACTTTACCTGAAGCTAAAAGAAGAGTAATGTGGTTTCAGTTAGGTATATTTTTATCCTAAATTGGTTCAGTATTTCAGTATAAATATATAACCCAACTGGACATCTTTTGCATTATAGTTGGAAATCCTTTTAAAAGGAAGGGAGGCAGTTGCTTAAAATAAATACATATTGACTACTCAAGTTTGAAGAATATGAGACAGTAGAATATTTTAAATTAGATATTCATAGCAAAGGAGAAGTAAAATAATACTTAGAAGAGAAAGGTTGAAAAATATGTTTCAAATTCCATTAATTATTTAAAAATCTGGGTTTAATTCAAATTTTAAGAATCTACATACATATAATTTTCTTCTCTGTGATTTTAAATGTTGTAGGATATTTTAGACTTTACTCTCTTATTATTCATGATTTAAAGAACCTGGCTTTAGAATAAAGATAAATTATTTTTAAAAAAATTTAATAAAATTCTTATGGCATGCGTATTCCAAACCAGTAATTAATATCTTAACCAAAATGCACTTCTGTATGTTCCACTATACTCCTTATCTGTATATTTATAGATCATATTCTTTTACACAACCAACAAGAATGTTTTAGCAAACATTCAGATTTAGTTAGAACTAAATTGGGAAGTAGCAGCTCATAGTAGAGGTTAACTAAAAAACACCATCTGCAATGAAACTACTTGTCTCTGTTGAGTCAGACCTCAGAAGGGGGTGTCCATTTCCAGGGTTCCAGAGAAACCTTGGACTATGGGGAATGATAAGCAGTTCTGATTCTCTTCCTTCAAGTATCTGAGGCAAACACTTCCAACTGGAAGGTGGCCCACCTCATTTCTTACTTTACTTGTGGTGGAAGTAAAGAGCAAAGTTCCAGGCTCCTCACAACCCATATGGCACCCCTGCAGCAGGATGCCCTTCAGTAATGGAGGTTTTCAGATCCATCAGGGCATACTATACAGATCTGGAAATTCTGTTTCTGTTTGTCAAAGAACAAAACTGTTAATATTGTTATTTATGTATATTATTTAAAAAATTAATGAAATTTTAAAACAGAGAAACGTAACCCAGAAGTCTTGTGAATTTATTGTGAATCATCAGCTAAAAGCCCCTATCAAAGGGAACACAAAGACATCTTGACAGCATGCCTTTTCTCAAGAAGCTTGTGTTGTAATTCTTGGAGATAATTTTCTGAGTCATAATCTTTTGTTATTTCTTAGAAACCTGCCCGATACAGAAGAGCCATAAGTTATGACAGTAAAGAATACTACATGCGACTGGCCTCTGGCAATCCAGCCATTGTCCAGGATGCCATAGTAGAGAGTACCGAAGGTGAAGCCACTCAGCAAGAGCCAGAGCATGGTGAAGATACGATTGCTAAAGTCAAAGGTCAGCTTTCCTCTTTGATTCTGATTAAAACACATTTGGTGCATTGCTTATATATCTACATGAAAACATGAGCAATTTTAAGGGCCAATCTGAGAAGTATTTGCACATATTTTACCAACCCATCCTTCTTAAAAGCTGACAAACAGAAACAGATAATTTCCAGGTTTGTACAGTATGTTCACTGACTTGTGTGGCACCTGATATTTTAGCGAAAGCCCTGATAACTAAATAAATATATAAAATAATAACCACTAGCCCAGTATGATGGCACATGCCTATAACCCCAGCTACTCAGGAAACTGAGGGAGGAAGATTGCAATTTTGAGACCAGCCTGGGCAACTTAGTGAGACCCTCTCTCAAAATAAAAAATTAAAGGGCTAAGCATATAGCTCAGTGGTCAAGCTCCCCTTGGTGTAATTCACAATACTGAGGAGGAAAAAATGTACTGTTTCACTAGTATACCTTAGCCAACAATATGAAATAATAGTTTTTCTTCCTATGAACTGAGAGAGAGAATCTCAAACATAGACTTCAGGAACTTGGTAGATGATGAATTTGACTAAAATGGCATGGATTTTTTTCATTTTATAAAAATATATATATATATATCTTTAACTCAAATGCTGTCTTCCTCCTTCCTAAAGTTTTTCTGTGATCTGTACTTGAACAAATCTTATCCAGTCTTGAAGACAGGTGAAATATCAAATTGTCCTCAGAAACCTTTTGTAATTTCTCTGTTCACCGACAGCACTTTGCTTATAAATCTCTTAAGCAGGATCAGTGAGTTTTCATTGCTGTATGTGTTCCTGTAATTAGTGACTCTTTCTCGGAGCCAGAGATTCCCTGATAGCTTTTGGCAGACGTCTGACACAAAATGGGGATTTAATCAATATTAAATAAGTAGATCAATCCATTGTTTTAATTTTTTTTTAGATCACTGATCAACCATAAATTCAAAAGTCTTCTCATTTTCAAAAAATAAAACTCTGGAATATAAATGTACAAGTTTTAATTGAAAGGTTCTAAATTAAAAGCAGGCGGATTAAAAATAAGTTTTAAAATCGTTAGTAAATTAAAAATGAGTTTCAGGTCCTATTATTTTAAAAAAATTAATCATATACAACTGTGTCCACAAAAACTGCCATCTTAAATGGTGTTTTACTTTCCCCAGTATTATAACTTATCTATTCTCCTGTGATGATTCTGACTTACTGAATATTTTATAACTGATCTAATATCGTCATAGAATCTGTGAAACTTTTAATAAGTGAACAGAAGTTAAAGCCTTCTAATTTTGCTGACATGACACCAGCAAAGTTATAGAATTGGGTTCAAAGCATTAGTTTTTGAATGTAAGCCAAATTATAATTCAGTTAGACTCCTGTTTGGGTCATTGGCACTTAACTTCTCTGGCCTGATTTTCCTTCTGTAATTGAACTAACAATTGGTGTAATATACAAGATGTTATACTACACATAGAGTTGAAAGTTTTGACTCATTAACCTAAAAATAATTTCACCTTTGCAGATGTTCTCATGAGGATTTTCTCTTTCCTGAATAGTGACTGTACTCTTTTGTATATGAAAATAAGGTTCTTGTCAAGGCAAAGCAAACCTGATAACTAATGTTCAAAAGATAAGACTCCTAACAGGCTGATTTATACTTTTCCAAAATGATTAGAGCAATCATTACTGACAGCTATAATATTATTTTTGATGGTGTAATTGAGGAATATTTTAATTAATGTTAATTAATTACATATTAATTAAATGTATGATTTAGAGTGCATTTGAGACCTTCCCGTACTTTGGAATCTCACTGGTTACTATCATCCTCCTTTTATGATTTTTTAATATAGTTATCAATCTTTGGCATTAAATTATTTCCTTAATTTGAAAATAAATGATCTGTTCCTGAAATAAAAAATTCTGTTTCTAATCTCTTTGATTCGTTTTGACTAAATTTATTCATGTATGAAAAAATATACCATTTGTGAAATGAGTCCTGACCAGTGTTCATGAGCCTCCAAATAAGTGGGATCTCTTATAATATGTTTATAAGTTGCTATCTTTATTTTTATGCCAGAAATTGACCATTTATTATTTATTCATGACATCCCCTTAGTGGCACTGGTCTATAAGCAACACAGTTTTATTAATTATGCTAAACTCTGTTTATCTTACTGAGAATTTACTGTGCAATAATCATAATACTAAGCACTTTACATGGATTACCTCATTAGTCCTCCAACAATCCTCTGATGTAGATACTATTCCTGTACCACTTTTATAAATGAGAAAACTGAGGTTCAAAAGGGGCAAATAATTTTCCAAAGTCATACCTCCCAAGCCTTTGCTGCTAACCACTGAGCTGGGCTGCCTCTCTGTACCTTCCAAAGTTCTCTCAAATGACCTAACTTCCTTCTACAAGGCCCACCCAAAGGATCTACCATCTCCCAGTAGCACCAAACTGAGAGCCAAACCTTTAACACGAGGGCATTTGAAGGCCCATAGTCAAACCATAGCAGACTACATGAGACTACTTCTCCCCTACATGGTCCCTACAATATCACATGGTCCTCTTGGTTATTATACTGTAGGTCTAGTCAAGCCTCCTCTAAAACGCTCTCGTTCTGCACCTGATGGAGGAGATGAGGAGAACCAGGAGCAACTACAAGACCAGATTGCTGAGAGCAGCTCTATGGAGGGGGAGGAAAAAACAGACAATGCCACCTTACTGCGCCTATTAGAGGAAGGAGAAAAGGTACTGTGCTTCTAAAAAGTAAGGATTGTATTTAAGTAACATAAGACAAGTTGGTAGAGTGGTTGTAGAAAATAAATATTTTAGCCTCTGGAGTGAAATATAGTACAAAGAAAATTTGGGATTCTGGGTGCCACCTCTTTCATGTTATGAGGGGTTTCCTGACCTGTATATATACACTGTTTTCACAGTATAAAGTTTCATCAAATATTGTATTAACCCTTGATGCCTAATTCAGTCTCTTCCTCTATAACCTTTATTAGACTACAGCTCTTGCCATAATGGTTTGTTTCTTGTCTAGGTAAATAATCCACTCAGTAATCTGGCCTTATTGTTTTCTTCTGCATTTCTATACATCTAGTTACCACCTACAAAAGAGCTTCAGCCAATCCACTATTATCTCCAGTCTTATACTTAAGCCATGTTCTCTTTTACTCACAGAAGACTATGATACATTCTGTTTCTCTCAACCTCCTCCATCCTGTCCACTTTTTGAGGCTAATTTTACTGTACTGTCTTGTTGCCTAAGCCCCTAAAGCATTGTATACCTTGTAGTTCATTATTCCCACCATATTTTTATTTTTTTTTTAATATTTGAGAGAGAGAGTTAGTTTTAATATTTATTTTTTAGTTATTTCAGTGGACACAGTGTCTTTGTTTGTATGTGGTGCTGAGGATTGAACCCGGGCCGCACGCATGCCAGACAAGCGCGCTACCGCTTGAGCCACATCCCCAGCCCCCCACCATATTTTTAAACTCTGTACTCGTAGTTTTTCCTCCCAAAATGACCCTCTCTCACATGTGTAACCTCTATTCTCCTGACTGTCATCTGTTCATTATTTGAATGTGTGTAAGTCTCATGCAAGAAGCCTTTCTATCTGCTTTGCCAGCACAAGCTTGTCATTCTGTATTCTCTTTTCATAATTATTTATTCCTGTCTCTTTTCTCCTGAATGGTGAGCCCTTATAGGCAAGCATTATTTTTCCTAACCCACCTCCTTATTTAGTTCCAGTCACATGAAAGATACGCAATAAACCTTCAAATAAAAGAATAATTTTTTGGATAAACAAAGGGAAAGAAGGGAGGAAGGAATTGACTTTTTAGTGAGTATTACCTTAAAAGAATGTCCTTTTTGCTTATTATGTTAGATCTTGGTGTATAACTATTGAGCTCAAACCCACTAAGAAGTAGTAATCAGAAGTTGGAGTATAATTAAAACATTTCTGTTCACATATATGCCCTGATTAATCCGCAGTTAAAATATACAGAGAACCAATCATGTAACTGTAAAAGCATTTTAGGTAGGAATGAAGCACAAGAGAGTCTGCTTAGGGGTCCTGGAAGGGGGAGTGGATTCCTGTGCCTTAATCTGAATGTTACTGGCTCACTACACTGTATTTTTAGCATTTAAAACTTTGTATCAAGGTATACACTTATGAAATGAACATTTTTTCTGTGTGTATACATATGTAGATATTATACTGCAAATAGAGTTATTTTAGTAGTACATCAGGGGGCTGAGGGTATGGCTCAGTGGTAGAGCACAGATCTAACATGTGTGAGGCCCTGGGTTCAGTCCCAGTACCACCACCACCCCCAAAATAAGAGCACATCAAGATTTTCTCTCTTACAGTCTACCCTTTTATGATTAAAATGATTCAAATGTGGTAATGAACACTGACTTCCATTTAGATGTTTTAGAAAATTTATTGCAATGCTTTCCTTTTTAGAACTTTTGTTTACTTTTTTAATTATATTTTAATTGACTAATTTTATACATTTATGGAATACAATATGATATTTAGGAGGGGTCTAAAAATATTATAGAAAGATTCAATCAAGCTAACTAACATATCCATCCCTTCACCAATTTACAATTTTTGTGCATGGTGAAAATGTTAAGTTTACTTTAGGAATTTTGGAATATCTAATGCACTGTTATTCACCTTGGCCACTGAGTAGTGCAGTAGCAGATCACTAGAGCTAACCCTCCAGTTTAGATATAATTATTTACCCTCTGATCAGCATCTTTTCTCTTCCATTCTTATCCCTGCAACCTCTGGCAGTCAACTTTTTATTCTCTGTTCATTAAAAAATTATTTAATCTCATGAATACAACTTTTGCTCTGATTGCTTTAAGTTTGAATAGAATAGCAAGTGTATTCAAACTGACATTTGTTTGACTCTGATTTAGTTGCTGATTTTTTTTTCCTTTGATTCTTGTTGAACTAAGTTTAAACAAGAAAGAATTTTTACTAAGAATTAGATATTGCCCTTTGAAAAGAAAACAATGCTTACATTGAGAGATTTAGTAATTCCTCCTCCGAGGAGGAAAACAGAACTTCTGCCAAGTTTGACTTTTTACAATGGCACAACAGTCTGCCAGGGAGGCAGGATCCAGGTGGGGAGTAAATTAGGACAAATTCCAGTTGCAATCCCAGGGAGTGTTATGGAAAAAGAGGAAAGTGAACTATGTGGAAGAGATGACAGCCAGAAATTCCTAACATGGCTATGTGCATGATCTCACATAAGTTTCAAAACAAGCCAATGATGTGGATTAGAAATTTATAAATGAAAACACAGATATTCAGAGAAATTAGAGAACTTGATCAAATCTACAACTGTGAAATGAAAAGACTGGGAATTTACCCCGAGTTCATAGGCCCTGCAGACCATTCGTACTCCATATCATCTTTTCTCACAAAGGGCACATCTTGTCCTGATCTCCTTACCATGAATGCCAAGCTTCTTGTATCTGCTCCAGGATGGCAGAGACCTCACCTAACTTGTTCCTCACTTGTAGAACCTAATACATAATATGCCAGTACACATGTTCTGTATTCAGTCTCTCACTGAATACTAGAAACAATAGAGGGCACAGGTGGAATACATGCATGGTGGATGATGTGAATGAATGGTTGTTTGCTTTTACTGAAGTCACTTGCAAAAAGACTATAATCTTAGGTGGATTCTTCTTAATGCTTAAACTCAGATTTACTGTGCTTAACTCACAGACTACTATAACAGAATAAGCAAAAAGAAGAAGAAATAAGTTATCTGGACTTTCTTTATAGCTACATTAAAGAATACTTGTGGCTTGCTTCATAGATCCAGCATATGTACCGTTGCGCTCGAGTCCAGGGCCTAGATACCAGTGAGGGGCTGCTACTTTTTGGTAAAGAACACTTTTATGTGATTGATGGATTTACCATGACAGCAACGAGGGAAATAAGAGATATTGAAACTTTACCTCCAAAGTAAGTAAATGAATGAAGAGACACAAAATGCAACTGTCTTTGTAAGACAGAAAATATATTTGTATATTTTCCTTTTAATATAAAAACTGTGTTCTATATAATATTACCTCTCAATTTGTGTGTGTGTATGTGTGTGTGTGCATGTGTGTGTGTGTGTGTGTGTGTGAGAGAGAGAGAGAGAGAGAGAGAGACTGTGAGAGAGATTACATATTCTCAGGGGTAATTCTGTTTTGTCAAGGTAATTAAAAAATTTTACCTCATGAAAATGAAAACTAAATTTTATTTCTGTGCCTTAATAGCATGGTACACCAAGTTACCTATCTTCCAATCTATGTACTTATAAATTTATTCTGAATTTGTAGATTGTTTCGTTTTCTAAGTGTCAGTACATACAAAGTTGTGCAGAAAAATGCAGGTGGCTCCAGATGCTATTATAAATGAAAGTGTTCCAGAGTATCACAGAAGCAGCACGCCTGAATCTCAAGCAGGGAAAGCTGAGGTTCATCCATTGTCCAGATTTTCTGGTGCTAGTGCCAGGATAGATGATAGTGGGTAAACAAAAAACTCAGAACACTAAGCCAAAGAAAGAAAAGAAGCTAAAGCCTTAGACAAACCATAAGCTTTTCCCCTTCCTTTAACATGTTGAATACTTAATACTGTGATATACAGACATGGTCTCTGTAGTTCATACTTAAAATAATTACTTTCTTAAACAGTCAAGAGCTGCATTCTGACTTTCAGGGCCCAGCATCATATGGAAATATTAAAAATCATGTTTTGTGACTATTGATGTAAAAATATATATATTAAAACATCTTATTTACCTAAAAGTTCAGGTTTTGTTCTTCTGATTTTGAAAGAAATTTAAACTTTTTGGAGTGCCAAAAGTTTGTGAAAAGTTGATCCTGATAATATTAAGAGAATTTTAAAAATTGTATTCATCAAAGGGGCTTTTTTGTATGTGTGCCAGATAGCTAACAAATTATTCTTTTAAAACATACCTTTAACTGAGAATTCTGATATATTGTTCCTCTTCTTATTCATTTATTAAAAATAGTACACCCTTTTTGAGCAGTGAATTTATTTCTTCCTAGTTTATTTATTTATTTATTTCCTTTCTCTCTGCTGCTTATAGTATGCATGAACCAATTATCCCTAGAGGAGCCAGGCAAGGGCCCAGTCAACTCAAGAGAACATGCAGCATTTTTGCATATGAGGATATCAAGGAAGTGCATAAAAGGAGGTATCTCCTACAGGTGAGATGATTTAGTGGTTCTAAACATTTTGTTAGGTGCCTTTGTTTGGAATATATTTTTAAACTGATATGTGCCGTGAAAATTCTATAGAGTCCACATTATTCTTTAGACAAGCTCAGGTCACATGAGTGCATAACTCTGTATAATGTACCTCTCCCTTTTTAAGTGCAACCTAAAATTTGTTATCTTTCTGGTTCATCTTTCCCTGAAGTTTTCTAAATCAACATTTTAATTGTCTTTTGTCACCTGAGGCCTGCTTGGGGAGGGAATAATAACACTTGGAGTTGTGGGTCAGCTGGAAATGAAAGTCCGAAAAAGTTATTTCAAGAAATAAAGTAGAAGACGCAGAAAATACTTTTTAAAGCAGGGGCTTGACAGGTGGAAAGACCTTATGGGTCTGATTCTAACAAAGGGAAGCCTGTTTGAAACACTCCAGAGTAATTTATTGTGAGGAGGAGTTCTTCAAGGTAAACAAGAAGGAAAGGCTGTGTGGAAGTTGGCCTGGTTGGGGACTTATCACTTGCCCAGTAATTCTTCCTCCTCCAGGCAGCTGGCCCCACAAGGCTAGTTGGGGCACTGGTATCTCTCTCTACTTCCAGGGAGTTGCCTTTGAACATAGGACTGTCTAAGCCAATAAATTCTGTGATATCACACAATTTTCTTTGAGGAGGAGATTTGCCAAGGCAACGAAGCTGTCTCAGATTGGTGAGATTACAGCAAGAGTTCTCCAAGGGGCAGCCTCCACTTAGACATGGCTTAGACAAGCCCACAGTTTATTAGCAGCTTCCAACAGTCTTTTAACATAAAAATCATTATTTCTTCCACTATAATTTTAGAAATTTATAATTTTATAATTACTTTGTTTTTCATTCTATTTTCAAAGTTTTTCTAAATAAATTGTGTAGAATAAGAAAAATCTTTTATTGTGTAGTTTAGTCTACAAAGAATTCATGACTCCCAAAATGTTCTTCAGTCAAGAAATTAATTTCTTTAACACTGTAGAAATGTAAAAAATTATATATAATCTTATTTGTGATATGTTTTATCCTAATGTTTTTCTCTCTGATCATTTCAGCCTATTGCAGTTGAAGTTTTCTCTGGTGATGGGCGAAATTATCTCCTTGCTTTCCAAAAAGGAATTCGGAACAAAGTCTACCAAAGGTCAGGTTTAGTAGGAATACTTTGTATACCATCATGGGAAGAGGTGGGGGGAACTTTCACCAACCAGTTTAGCTAGTTTTTTTTTAAAAAATCTAGAATATAGATCAGGGAATCAGCATCTTTGAAGAATATGTTTGTTTCATTTCTGCCAGCCTCTTAAAACTTGATCCTTCTAACTAGTTTTTAGAATGATAGAATTCTATTGGGAAATACCATTTTTCCGTCCTGACAGTAGAGATTATCATAAGTTACTTTTAGCTCTAAGTCTTATGTCTTTAAATATAAAAGGATGATTCTAGCTTAAGGCTTCCTTCGTTCGCCAAAATGAAGACAGTACCTTTCATTGCTATTATGTGCAGGGACTGAATTAGCCTAGAAATTATATTCACATGAGGCTCTTCTCTGACCTTGGAAGGGAAATTGGATACCTTTATTCCTTTAAAAGTAGCATAGTCAAATAAAGCTATTGATCTAATCTAAGCATATTTTATCTTTATCATCCTATTTTTAAATTTTACTTTTTTAAAGAAAATAGTATGTGATTGTGGTACATAAAGATAATGATGGATATGCAAGCAATAATACTTTCATGAACTGATCACAGAGATGAGAGACTTCTCTTACTTTTTGAAGGGTGAAATAGGTCCTGGCATTTGTGTTTAAATAACTTCCATGCAGGATAACTAATATCATGTAGCACTCACTGCATATCATTGCTGGATAGTACAGTAGTGCCCACTTACCCACAAGGATACATTCCAGAATATTCCTCAGAGGCCAGAAACTGTAAATGGGACTAAAGCCTTACATATTCTTTGTTTTTTTGCTATACATCCATATTTGTGATAAAGTTTAATTTACAAATTAAGCACAATATGAGAATAATAGCAATAACTAACATAAACTGGAACAATTATAATAATATTATAATGAAAGATGTGTAAGCTTATAAATTGTTTATTTCTGGAATCTTCCATTTAATATTTTGGGACCACAGTTGACCTGTGGTAACTGCAACTGTGGAAAGCAGAATTGCAGATAAGGGAGGACTATAGTAATATTACCTGTGAGCACATGTGAAATGTGTTCTTCAAACAATGTGCCTAGAACTATTGATTAGTAATCTAGAATTCCGTTCACATAGGAGAACAGTTAAGGAAAGTGACTGAGATTCACTTTTGCTTATTTATCTTGTCAGTTTCTAAAGCTGATACTAGGAAGTTATTTATTCCTCATGATTATAAGCTGCAGTAAAGAGAAATGTCTGTGCATATGTGACATTCATGATCCATAGCCATTCCAGGAATGTTCCCATAGTTCTCTTTTGCCTTTAAAAAAATTATATTGACATGAGAGCAGCTCTGAGAAAAAGTTTCTTACAGTATCACATAAAAGTTATGTCTTTATGTATCTTCATTTCTTTAGTGAAGTCCCTTTTTTATCATTTGTTCAGCTATCATCATTATCTACCATCATGTGAATATTCAGTTGAATTCCCTCATTAAATATTATCAAGGTGACTCAGTTCCTGAAAATCAATTTTAAAACCCATTGGGTGTCATGACAGCACAAGTAAAAGGCTAAAATCTGCTGTGGACCTTTATATTTTGTGTTTTAATTATTATCTATTCCCTTTTCCTGCCGTTTACTGGGAAATGGGAGGGTCATTGCAATAATGGAGATGTACATGAATCATCCATTTTTAAGCTTTCATTAGATTGTCACTGAGACTTCATTTGCAATTTTATCTATTTCTAAATTTTCCAGGTTTTTGGCAGTAGTGCCATCTCTAACTGACAGTTCAGAATCTGTGTCTGGGCAGCGGCCGAACACTAGTGTGGAGCAGGGGTAGGTGGTGAGCTTCTTGCACATTTTAGTTAATCATAAATTTAAGATGACTTGTATCTGGAGAGTAAAATTTAACTTATTTAATAGTGTTTCTATAGCCCATGGTGGTTGTAGAAATGTTTTAAATACTGGAAACTAGAAGGAAAAGAAAGAAAAACACACGTAATTACTTATTCAAATTATTTTGATCAATACCCTTTCTAATCTTTTAGGATACATATGTTGTTAGGCATACACTTGAATTTGTACTTTGAATACAAGTATTTATTCTGCTTCTATTTAGTGCTATATTTAAATATTTCACCCATCTTTAAAAAAGTCTTCAGAAGCATAAATTTTATTCATAAATTTTATTTTATTTAACCTGTTCATCAGATGTATAAAACATCTTGGGTTTTTTGTTTGGTTTGGTACCAGGGATTGAACTTGGGAGTGCTTTACCACTGAGCTACATCCTCATTCCTTTTTTTATGTTGAGTCAGGATCTCACTAGATTGTTGAGGGTCTCACTAAGTTATTTAAGCTGGCCTTGAACTTGGAATTCTTTTGCCTCAGCCACCTTAGTCACTAGGATTATAAGTGTGTACCATCACTCTGGTTTTTCTGGATATTTTGTCTTTATGGATTTTCTTATTATGATACTGGAAATGTGATTCCTCATTATTTTGTAGGAAAGAGTCCCTTTAGTATAATAAAGTTTATGAATGTTAAGGCTCTTGATTCACAAAAATAACCTGATATTCATAATAATTATACAAGTTTATATTCTACCATTATTAGAGAGGTTTGCTTTGTCCCTATAATACTTGCCAGATTTGTATGTTAATTTTTAAAATCTTACTGGTTTAACATTCATTCTCATTTTTAGATATATGTTTAATTATTAACAAGCTTGAACTCCGTATATGTTTATCATTTTAATCATTGAAAATCACACAAATCTTTTGCCCATTTTTCCTTTGTGTTCCTATTATCAATTTACGAGGTGTTTTTCTGTAATAAAGTATTTATTTTTCCTTTGCTTCACTTATTTGTCACAAATTGCCAACTTTCCTTTCTCTTTTGCTCTCTGACATTTAAATTTAAAGTTCTGTCAGGATAGGTGGAGTTGGAGCACTCCTATATTCCTAGTTAAATAGGAGGCTGAGGCAGAAAGATCCCAAGTTCAAGACTAGCCTCTGCAATTTAGTGAGACCTTGTTTTAAGATTAAAATAAAATAAAAAGAGCTGTGGGGGCTGGGGTTATGGCTCAGTGGTAGAGTATGCACCTTGTATGTGTAAGGCCCTGGGTTTCTCAGCACTGAATATAAATAAATAAAATAAAGATCTATTGACAACTAAAAGAATACTAAAAAGGGGCAGGGGGGCTGGGGACATAGCTCAATCCTCAGTACCAGAAGTAATAATTAATTAAAATTTATATTGTTATATATTCAGACCTGTCGTTGGTTCCTTTGTGCTGTTAAAGTTGCTTTTAATCTTAGTAAGTCTCTCTGAATGAGATACCCTTTTCAAGAATTCATATATCTAGCTCTATTTGCAGTTATTCAGTCACTGGTATGTCTTTGCATTCACTGGAAAAGGAGCCATACAATACTTTTGTGTTGAAAACTATAATTATTACAGTATGCATGAAAATGACTTAAAAATTTATCAGAAGGACTGGATATGTAGCTCAGTGGTACAGTGTTTGGCTAGCATATAGGAGGCCCTGGGTTTGGTTCCCAGTACTCAAATTTAAAAAAAAAAAAATTTTTTTTTACTAAATTTTACTAAATTTTACTGTAATTTGTAAATAAAATTTTATTCCAATCCTTATACATCTAATTACATTAAATTAATGTATTTCTCTTAAAGTTGTTGCTTTTATTTTTGTTTACTCAGCAAACACAGGTACTCTAGATAAAAGTTTTTGTTAACCTCAGAAACATGTTCAGTCCCAAATCATTTGTCATGGTGTTAACATAAATACAGAAAGTAAAAAGTTAATTGAGGCTTTTTTTTCTCCGACTTTTTTTAAAGCCTCAGTTTGCTTTAAGGAAACTGCTTTTGAAGTAAGCAAAATGCTACTACTTTTACCTGCTAAAATTATCTTAAACTTGATATTCCTTAATTCTTACTACCTTCTATGCTGAGTTAGTAGTTCTTAAAGAACTTTTAAGAGATCAGAGGTCAGAAGCAGAAATGTTTTCCTTACTTCACCTTCCTTTTTAGTTGTTTTCTGTCTTACGAAACTGAGGAGTGATCATAACTTCTTCCAGAGAGACTATCATCATCTTCAATTTGCCTACTTAAAAGAATTCATCTAGAAGTAGAAAGTGGTGTTCTGTCTTATTGAGCTAGATGTGTCTATGACCTAAGGCTTACAAATCTGCTGGTTCCCTTTCAGATAATAAAGAACATAGTTAAATACTTTACTTTTTAGTGCCTTGACCAGTTTTTTTTAATATTTTGTAGTTATGAATGGACAGAGTATCTTTATTTTGTTTACTTATTTTTATATGGTGCTGAGGATCAAACCTAGTGCCTCACATGTGCAAAGCAAGCCCTCTGCCAGTGAGCCACAACCCCTGTCCTTGACCAGTTATTAGTTATTAGTGTTATAAAGCTGATGAACTTTAAATACAGCTTGATAGTATTCTAAGAAAATTTGCTATCAAAAAAGCCATATATAAATTTTAAATGACCTGAACATCAATTAATTTCCTCTCATAAAATATTCATATTTTCATTCACTTACTCAATATTTCTTAAGAGATACACTGGGCTGGGATTGTGGCTCAGCGGCAGAGTGCTCGCCTAGCACGTGCAAGGCCCTGGGTTCGATCCTCAGCACCACATAAAAATAAATTAATAAATAAAGATATTGTGTCCAAATAACAACTAAAAAATAAATATTAAAAAAAGAGATATAATGTGTACCTACTATGCATAAAATATTGCATAATTTCAATTATACCATTAATGTCTTTGGATCTGTTTATGTGGGATTATAATAAAAAGTAGAAAAGTTGGATTAGATCAGTTTTTTTCCAAATATTTTGTCCATGACCTCTACACTTTGTGTGTGTGTGTGTATTTATTTATTTATTTATTTATTTATTTTTGTAATATCACTATCCAGTATATACAATTGAATCATTAATACAGAAAACACTTTCCCTTAGTATATGTCATGACTTCTGATATTCTGTTTACTTCAGTTCATTGCATGTTATTCATATTTTAAAATTCTTATCATAACCCTCTAAAATGATTTTATGACCCATTAGTAGTTCCCCTGTACTTTGAAAAATTCCTGTACCAGGTGACCCCAAATTTTTAATTCTATAATTGCTGAGATTTAAAACTGTATTACCTGCAATTTATTTTATTCTGTGGTAATTTTTTAGATCTGGGCTGCTTAGCACATTGGTTGGAGAGAAGTCTGTGACTCAGAGATGGGAGGTAAGTTAATGACTATAAATTTCCTCAGTAATTTTGTAGGTCAAGGATCTAAATCATACAACTTTTGGCTGTATGAAGAAGATGTACACCATAGAGAAAATTGTCTTTTTGTTTTTTTAGGGGAAAAAGATTGTTTTGATACTCTGAAATCTATTAAAAACCAACTATCTGTACCTCATTTGCATATAAACTTTTAAAAAGTGAACAAAGTATAAATAATTGACTGCTGTAAAATGAATCTTTATTATCTTTTCCAAGAGAGGTGAAATCAGCAACTTCCAGTATTTGATGCACTTGAACACTTTGGCTGGCAGATCATACAATGATCTCATGCAGTATCCTGTCTTTCCCTGGATCCTCGCAGATTACGACTCAGAGGTAAATCTCAAATCACTTTGCCTAAGTGAAATACATTCCCCCCCCAAAAAAAAATTTAGAGATAATGCACTTGCCCAAATATCTTATTTACTTTGTAGTTTAGTGTTCTCTGTAGGTACAGGCATTTACTTCAAGAGGATGAGTAGTGTTTTATTTTGGACATACAATATAAAAGATTTAAATAATTGATCCACTTGGGGGTGTTGAGCATTAATTCACATGCCCATTCACTTTCCTTAAGCATTAACTAATGGTTTCCATTGGTTAATGTCAAAACCCATCGTGTAGTTTGAATTGTTTCTGTAAATATTTGTGAAGTGACTCTTCTTCAAAATATTCCTGCCATGAAAAACAAATTTTTGTGTACTTTTCTAAGAAGTCTTGGGAAAACATTTCTAACAATTAAGCATGTACATGACTTAGGGATAAAAGTCAGTATGAAGATAAATAGAAATGTTATCTTTCCTCTCATCCTTCGCTTTCTGTCTTACCAAGATCTGATTAGCTCTGAAATGAACTAGTAACAGGATAAAAAAAGAGAAGCTTGGCCCTTGATAGACAAACAAGAAAAGGAAAAAAAAAGATTAATTACTCCTAAAATTAAGAAACTCATTGGACCTTTTCATTCATCAGAATAAGAACTGCTTGTATTGTCAGAATTTTTATACATCATCATATTAGGGAAAAAGAAGAAAGCTTCTGTCCTCAGAAAATTTTAATGTAATGAAAGAACAGAAGTCAACCCTACCTTCATGGGTGTATGTGAGTACATTTGATGTGGGAATCCCTATAGGGCATGTGTAGTTAATATGCATATCTATACATATTTGGGTGAATAATGTAATTATGGATAAGAGGAAGTCAAGAGTAAAGATGGATAAAATGGAACTTTTTTCTTTATGTTATCCGAGGAAATATAGAAGAAAATAGAGATTTAAAGGGGGCAGGAAGTTCATAAATAATGCATTTTTATGGGGAGGGAGTGAGGACTGTATCAAACTATCTAAGAAGAACATTACTAAACCTTTAATTCTGGTCCTGATGTTCCAGGTATAGTTCCAATCCTTACTCCCCATACCCCCATCTCAGGAAGTAGCACGCTGTGGCAGAGGAGGTCTACCTTTCAAACACCTTTTAGCATCTTCCTTCATCAATACTGATGTCTCATTTCAGGTCGATCACAACAGCCTTCTGACTGGATTCCTGCTCTGATGGTCTCTTCCCTCACTCTATCCAGATTCAGAAACATAAATCTAATCAAGTCATTTCCTGTTTAAAAAGATTCAGAGACTGAGTTAGCAGCCTCAGGAGCCTTTCCAGATAGCTTCTATATAGCCCTAGTGTTCTCCCAGAACTGCACTCCTGAGATACATTAATGTTCTTTCTTGGACCTCAGTAGCCTTTCCCATGCCTGGAATTTTCCACCATACATCTTATATCTTCCCTCCACCTAGTGATTCACCTTGCCACCATCACTGCACCTCTCCAGACACACTCGTACATCACCTCTGTGAAGGGGAGCCCTTTGCTCTCCCTGTCCTCTGCTTCTATTCCCACACTGCCTTGCAGTTGGGTGTCATGGCAATTTCTTCCCCTTTTTAATCATGGTACTTTTTTTCACAGTGTATTGTAGTCAGGCTATTTGACCTTATTCAATTGTAAGGTCCTGAAGACATAGTCATCCTATATATCTCCTCAAATCCCAACACCTAGAACAATGGTTGGTACTTAGTGTACACTTCAGTGTTTATTGAACTAACTATAATTGAGATACATTTCATATAGACTTGAAGAGGAAAAATGGAATAACTTGACTTACACTGATCAGAGTGAATCAGTTTCCCCTTCCTAAGGTTTTTAAAATACAAGTCTGTCATGATGTCCTCTAAAAAGGACACATATTGAATATTCCACAGGCACATATTTCAAATTTCTACCTTTAAAGCACTCAGGGAGTAAATATTGGTTTCCTTTTACATAAGTAATTTAGATCAGCTAGAGATGAGCTTTTAAAATAATCTCTGGTAGTCTAAAAAAGTCCACCTCATTTGGAAGTCACTTGATCTGGTATGATGATGTTTTTTAGAAGGAAGGAGCTACTGCGTGCTTCAGCTAATATCACTTCTAGATCCTTCTAAAAAGAAAATACTCAGAAGTAAAGCTGTTGGGCACCAGGGAGTGGGGCACTGAGAGGAGAGTTGTCAGGTGATATGGGTGACAGAGGATAATGAAGAATTGCAGCTCTTGTGTCCACAGTCTCCTGCTGGCAAGAACTGGAAACATTTTTTTTTTCTTTTTTCCCCTCCCCAAAGTCTGGATCCTGAAAGCCTTCCAAAGCAGTTGTCTTCAAACTGAGTCAGTTAACAAAATGCCATGTGCCTGACTGCAAAGTGTGGAGAAACACCACACGCAGCATGGGTTTGGAGTCCATTCTGCCTGTTCATCCCACAAATGCATTTATAAATTATCATTGTCCACTACAGCCACTGTATCAAAGTTGGTCAGAATACAGAGTTCTAGTAACTTGCATTGGGTTTTGTTTTGTGTTTTAGGAGGTAGATCTTACTAATCCCAAGACATTTAGAAACCTGGCTAAGCCAATGGGAGCACAAACAGATGAACGGTTAGCTCAGTATAAGAAGCGTTATAAAGACTGGGAGGATCCTAATGGTAAGTAACATTTTCTTGTCACTGGACCTTGTACCTAAGATTCAAAAGTAGGTCTTTATTTAATGATCTGACAGACTTGAAGTCTTCCTCAAGTTACTTACATATCATTATATATGGTGTATATATACACTTATATATATGTAAATTACTAGAGTAGAAAAATCAGATTTTTGCATGCTGTTATGGCCATGCCTAGGAGGCATTTATAGCAAGTTCTTCAGAGTACCAACCAAAACCTGAGAGTACCAGCCAAAACCTGAGTGTGTCTGCTTTGCCTTTGGCAGAAACTTCCCATCATAATCTGCCCCTGTCTCTAATCATATTTAGTCCAAGAACTACATTTTGATTTATTGGCTTTCTTTTAATTTTATTGAAGGACTTTTTGAAATCCTTTTGCATTTAACAAAAAGAAATTAACTGCTTTCTTTAATTAAATGATTCATTTGTTATTTATTGTGTCTAATGTTTATTGTGTTTTCCCTTCAAACAGACCAAACAAAGGGGGGAAACCCTGAGCCTATTAGTGTATGTGTCTGGATTCTCTCCACTTTCCTCCCTTTTTGCCAAAAAGGTTATATATAAAAATACATAACTGCAAACCAGAACCTGATAAAAATTAGCTATAAATCAGTGTTCTCCTTTAGTGAAGCTGGTTTGCTGTTAAGGATTAGCTCTTTTACAATAAGCTTTGAGAACCAGCCATTGAATTATACTTACTTTGGATTCTTGCCAAAGACATTAAGTGAGGGAACAGTGGTATCTTTATGAAGTTTTCCTGCTACAAATGCCAGTAGCTAACTACATTTAGTGTAACAGTTCACAAACACATTTGCTAGCATTTCCAAGTCTGTTGATTAATATCAATTTTATTTTTCATATTTCCTCTTTGTTTTCTATTGTGCTTGAACATCTGGAACAGGAGAAACCCCAGCGTACCACTATGGAACCCACTATTCATCTGCAATGATCGTAGCCTCATACCTTGTAAGGATGGAGCCTTTCACACAAATATTCTTAAGGCTACAGGTAAAACCTAAATTTGGAATTTGACCTTTCTATTCAAGTCTACTTTCCTTTAAAATGCATTGCCTTGCCTTATAGAAGCCTATAAAGTTTTAGTGGCAAAGTAGTCAAACAGATTTAAATAGAATTTTGCTGGACCTAAAAAGAGTGATATATCCTAACTCATTTGGTGTCTTCTTGATTATAATTGCATTCTCTTTCATTCAGTCATCAAGTATTTACTGAATGCCTACTATGTGTTAGGCACTGTTTCAGGTACTTGGAAAACTGTCAGTGAAGAAAGATGCCTTGTGGAGTTTCTAGACCTCAGTTGAGAGAGACAGCCAAACATAATGAATGAGTAATCTGTAAAGTGTTTTAGAGTATGATTAAAGGTATCAGGAAAATATACATTAGGTAAAGTGAGGAGGGAAGGGGCAGAACGGGCTTAAAATTGAGTAATGGGAGTAGGCCTCCTCTGAACAAAAACCTCAGTGAGGTGAAGGAGTTACTCCTATATACACCTGAGGGAGGTGTGCTCTGAGTAGAAGTAGAGCCAGAGCCTCAGAAGAAGGTGTGTGCCTGATGTGTTTGGAGAAATAGCAGGGAGGCCCTTGTGTTCAGAATGGAGTAAGCGAATATGAGAGTCATAAGGGATGAAGTGAGAAAGGAAAGAGGCCAGGCTGGGGCAAGTCTTAGCTGTCATGGGCTTTGGCATTTTCTCACAGTAAATACCATGTTCATTAAAACACACGGGGATCAGTGTGACTGGAGAAGGAAGGTAGTGTATCTATGAGGCCGCAAAAGAAACCCTTTTGTCTTTCAACTTGTTTCATCAACCTGTAACTTTCCTATCACCTTTCCTAATTCTCCACTTAATTCTAATTCCCAGTTCAATCACATGTGATTGAATTGTCATGTTAATTTCTAAAATAAGCCAAGTATATGTATAATAACTTGAATATTTCCAACTGTAAATGGTTTACATTAGACCTTCTTTCTTAGAAGGGCATCATCAAATTATGGAAGTATTTATATTTCCTTACAGTCTTGCCCTCTCTAAAAACTAATATTTTTAAATGACTTTTTAAAAATCTTTATATTTATATTTCACTTTGATTATAAAACCAATCTATTGAGCATCCTTTGTAAGGAATACTCCAAAGAGACTAGGTTTTCTTTTGTGATTTTAAATTTCATGTATTTAACATGGGATGATGCGAGATTGAAATGTCACCAAACATATTTGAGGTTTTTAAGCCCTTGAACTTGACAGAAGCTGTGAGGTGGGAATGGTTCTCTAATAGAGAGGTGCCTTCTCATTCTGCCCACAGGGTGGCCACTTTGACCTGGCTGACCGGATGTTTCACAGTGTGCGCGAGGCCTGGTATTCAGCATCAAAGCACAACATGGCAGACGTAAAAGAACTTATCCCAGAATTTTTTTACTTACCAGAATTCCTGTTCAATTCCAACAACTTTGATCTAGGTATGTAGAGCTGTGTTAGGAATGTTAGCCAGGCAAAGAACAGTAGAAACAAGTCACTTCTGAAGATTGTCTGCCCCATGCATTAACAAGAAAAGATTTCCTTATACTGTTAGTTGCTATTATTTACTATAATTGGATGCATGTAATTAAATACTTTAAAAAGCACGTTTATTCCCCCAAAATGCTGTTTCAAACCTAGAGTTCTAGAGACATTTATAAATTGAAACAGATTACATCAGATGTTTAGAATTTTGTTGTTCTAGTGAAAACAGTCGTAAAGTTAAGTTTTGAGAATTATGACCATTGAAACCTATTAGTAGTCAAGAATCTAAATTTTATGTATTGTTCTAATCGTGTGTGTGTGTGTGTGTGTGTGGCCTGAGGTATTCTTGTTTTAATGTGTTTCAAAACCAAATTTCAAAAACTTTAAATGAATCCCTTTTCTTTATCCTGTTAGATCCTATTTTGTAGAAAAACAGTATAAAATCACCATTTATAAAAAGGAGAGAATTTTCATCAGTAGTGTCTTTTTATATTCTTGGCAGTTAGAAGAAATAAATTTGACTTTGTTTAGAGTTTCTTGGAATACAATTTGATGATCTGTGCTTTTGAGTATTTCTTTTAAAACATATCAGAATTCCATTGCTTGTACTTTAGAATATTTCTGCCACATTTTGTACTTTTTTTTAATATACCCTACATTTATTGCTTTTAAGCGTTAAGCATATAAATCATTACCATCTTAACCTCCGAATTTTCATTAACAGAAAATTCAGGAAATATTCCTACCTTTTACATTTTATAATTTTTGTTTTTAAATTTTTCAAAATTAACTTTTATTAACTGTCCATTAGCAGGTATAACTGTGTGGAATGGGATTCAATAAGAAATATTGTAAGACTTTCAGTATTCCCAGGAAAAATCCTCATTAACTCTGACTGGGCCTGGAGCTCACTCTTGGGCAGGAGTGGAATAGATGGTCAGTAAGCAAAATAAACAGATGTGTACACATGAGTCTTAAAAATGAGTACACCAGAGTGCTTTCTTATGTTCACTTACAACATCACTTGAAGAATGCTGCATTCTCTAGAGATACCACTTTCAAAGAAACAAATATGGAGAGGTGCAAAAAGAAAAAGATCCCTCGAATCTTCTATAATCTTTGAATCAGTTATGATGATCTATGTTGCAAAGTGTTTCAATCAGACCAATTGCAAACCCAACCAAACAATCCACTTTTAAAATAAGTAAATAAAAGAAGGTCATGTACTTTCATCTTTATCATATTCACATTCGTAACACATCATCTTTCCTTCTTAAATTTAAAGGCTAAAAACATAAAACTCTCATAAGAAACCATAAGGGTAAATCTTCATGATCTTGAATTTGTTAATGGATTCTTAGATATCAAAAAAAAAAAGCAGCAGCAACTAAAGATAAATTAGACTTCATCAACATTGAAAACTTTGGCATCCAAAGATTTTGTCCAGAAAGTAAAAAGACAGCCTGTGGAGTAGGGGAAAACATTTGAAAATGAGATATCTGGTAAGAGTCTAGGATCTATATAAAATTATATTATATACATATAATATAAAAACTCTTAAAATTCAACAGCCTGAAAATAAACAACCTTGTTGAAAAATGGGTAAAAGACTTAGTTAGATATTTCTCCATATATATGGCCAGTAAGCACAGAAAAGATGCTCATCATCATTAGTTATTAGTCAATGCAAAACAAAATCATGATGAGATAACACTCCACATCCATTAAGGTGGCAAATATCTGGGAAAATCAGAAAATAGCCAGGGCTGGCAAAGATGTGAAAATGAAAACACTTGTACATTGCTAGTGAGATCATAAAATGGTCAGCTACCGTGGGAAAGAGTTTGAAAGTTCCTCAAAAAGTTAAACAAAATTACCATATGACCAGCAATTCTACTCCTGAGTATATAAGAATTGAGAACAGGAGCTCAAACAAATGCCTGCACAAGCATGTTTATAGTGGCAGAACTCCAAATAGCCAAATAGTAGAAATAGCCCAGATGTCTGTCAAGGTGTGAATAGATAAACAAAGTGTGATACATAGATATAATGAAAGATTATTCAGCCATATCAATGAATGAAGTGCTGATAAATGCTACAACATGGATGTGTTAACTTTTCATTTATTGTAATAAATACCTGAGATAATCAACTGATAAAGAGAAAAGGGGTTTTTTAGCTTATAATTTTAGAGGTTTCAGTCCATGGTGGATTGACCCCATTGCTTTGGGGCCTGTAGTAAGGCAACACACCATCATAGAAACATGTGGTGGAACAAAGCTGCTCACCTCATGGCCAGAAGGCAGAAAAGAGAGGCAGAGGAGGGGGCTGGGGTCTCACTCTCCTCTTCAAGGGCACTCTCACAGTGACCAAAAGACCTCTGAGTAGCATCAGCCTAGGACAAAACCTGTAACACAGGACTTTGAGGGACATTCCATGTCCAAAATTAGCAATGGATAAACCTCAAAAACATGCTAAGTGAAAGAAGCCAGCCTCAGAAGGTCATGTGATGTATAATTCCATTCACAGGAAATACCCATTCATAGGTAAATCCAAAGACATAACAAATTTGGTGGTTATTATAGTCTAGAAGAAGAGATGAATGTACGAATTTCACCCCAAAAGAGAAAAATAAACAAAACTAAACACCCATTGCTCTCTATCAAAAAAGATAGTGATATTATTTAAAAAAAAAAAAAAAAACCTGGGAGTTTTCCCTGACCCCGTCTTGTTCTCACATCCCTGGATGTACACAGTGGGGGAGTTGCAGAATAGACTGAGGGTTTCTCTGTAGGTTTTGTTTTCCGTGTATGTCATTTTTAAAATGCAGCTAGTGCTAATAAAATTCTCCAACATAAGCATTTAGGGAGTATAGCAAAATCTTGAAAAGTAGATTATATCTCAAGAAGCCTGAGAATTATTACCAGTTTCTCATTATCAAAAAACTTGGACTAAAGAGAGCATTTGAGAGGGATTGTCAGGAACGTGTGAGGTGTGTGTGCTTGCAGGGATGCGGCATAATGACCGGATCTATGTCAACAATCAAATAACAATGATGAAAATAAGTTTCTAAAGGAAATGTTTTTGTTGGTTTCCATTTGGAATTGACTTTGTGCTCTAAAATTTAAATGACTTCACTTCTGTGTGAAATTCTTAATAGAACTACTATCTAATCAACTGCTAGGAAGCCAGGGAGTTAAGTCTTTACTATTTACAGTCGTTTGTTACAATGATAATCTAAACCTATGAAAACTGTAAGCTAAAATTACTTTTTGGTGTTTTTCCAAAAAAGAAGGGGGAAGAGAACCTTTTTCCTTAAATATCAATCCTACTTAATGTGTGTTCATGAGTGTGTGTATTTTTAATGCAAATAGATTTCATAGCAAATGACTTCTTTAATACTTTAGAGATTATCTGGCTGTGACTTAAAATAGCAGTTTATGGTCTTTCCAAATATTTTTTCTTTTAAGTGATGCAAGAACAACAAGAAGTTATATTCTAATTTCATTTCTTTAGAGAAAACCATCACTGCAAAATTATCTCAGTTCTACAGAGCTTTCTCAAGAATTTGTGTCAAAAATATGAGAAACCTCATGACTGCATTTATCTTCAGGAGGCTCAAAACAGTAGCCTCACGGAAGATCTCATTGAAGAGGAATCCTATAGTTAATAGCATTTCAGAAAGTTTGTGTCCGGTGTCCCTCTTAGAGCAGAACAAGTATATTAACATGTTTACCTTCAAGGCCTCTTTCAGGCCTTATGGAATATGTTCAATTTTGTATAACTCAGCATTTCCTGCAGACATTTGAGAGCAAGAATCCTGGTTTTACTAGCACTTAGCAAATCTTTTTGAGAAAATGCTCTAAGGAACGACCTTGGGGAGACACCAGAGTAGATGATCCCTGTGGGGCTCTTCTGTGGTGAAACTTGACAGTTCTAGTAATGAATCTCTCACACTATTTCTCTGTCACTGTAAATGAAGTTAACATTTGCCCCATTCTTTCATTTTCTTTTTAATGGATCCAATTGTGCAGGCTGTAAACAAAATGGCACCAAGCTTGGAGATGTTATCCTTCCACCTTGGGCCAAAGGGGACCCACGAGAATTCATTCGAGTCCACCGTGAGGTAATAAGGGTGCACTCTGGAGTGGGTTGTGGCCAATGATCACGCTATAGAAAGGACCTTGATTTGTGTATTTTGCATTCACTTAAGTTACTAATATTATCATAATGATTTTTAATTATTTTAATTCCTATTGACCACTAGCCAGGTTTCTTGACTTTGTGAGCAAGTAATAAACGCCAGCCCCTTACCTAGCTTGTGTTTTGGAATTACAGGCTTTGGAGTGTGATTATGTGAGTGCCCATCTGCATGAGTGGATTGATTTAATCTTTGGCTACAAACAGCAGGGTCCTGCTGCAGTAGAAGCTGTGAATGTCTTCCATCACCTTTTTTATGAGGGTCAAGTGGATATCTACAATATAAATGATCCACTGAAGGAGACGGCCACCATCGGCTTCATTAATAACTTTGGTCAGATCCCTAAACAGGTATGGATGTTCTTTTCTTATCAGCAGTGACTCAGTGTCATTCCATAATATTTCTATAGTTGGTAGATTACCACATAATAATTAAGTTTAGTCTAAGTTAATAATGAATCATAAAAATTGTTCATTAGATTAATGATCCTAGATTACTTGCTTCTTCTCACTTTTATGTGAGATAAATAAACTTTTTGATGTTTGAAGAGAATTTTCACTCAGACTGGAACAGGGCATGTTTTCTTGCTCATGACCTGATAGACCACAGTGTGCACAGAGACAGGGTTTCATCTGATGAATTTTTGTGCTACTTTGGAATATAAGAGGCCAGCAGACTGGGAGATATGACTTGGATACCAACATACATCTAGGACAGGCCATTGACTAATAGAGAATACTTTCAAGTAAACAATCTAAGAAAATCTCAATTTTATGGTGACTCTATACATGTATGAGCTGTAACATGGGCTCTATGTTAGGGCCTCACATAAAAGTTGTTCAGTAAATATTTATTTGTGGGCTGGGGATGTGGCTCAAGTGGTAGCGCGCTTGCCTGGCATGCGTGCGGCCCGGGTTCGATCCTCAGCACCACATACAAACAAAGATGTTGTGTCCACCGAAAACTAAAAAATAAATATTAAAAATTCTCTCTCTCTCCTGTCTCTATCTTTAAAAATATATATATTTATTTGTAAGCATGCTTTAAATTGCATCTTTTTTACAATTTCAGAATCTGTAGAAGATAAAAGAACCCTTACTCTGTGCCCCTGTACATAGCTAATATAAACAAAATGCTTAATGCTCTGGAAGCCTACAGTGCTATCTTTGTCTGTACAAAGCATATTTCCTGTCATTTTTCCCCCAGAAACCCAAAACATCTTCTTGAAGCATAGTGCTATTGTTTTTATGTTTAGTCTAAGCTCATCCAAGTTTTTCTAGATAGCTTTCTCAAATATTAATTTTCCAGCAGAAACTACTGTATCCATTTGAAGATCTACATTATTTGAAAAAAAAATTTTACATTAAATTTGAAAAATAATCTTAAGCGTATATTAATATTTTTAGCTGTAGAAATACTGAACAAAAATTCCAAAGATTTTTCTTTTCTTTTTTTTTTCTTTCTTCATTGCAAAGTGAAAGGAAGAGAATAATGTTCATATTTTCAGCAAATTTGTAGCATCTAAACAGCACCAAAATCATATTGCTAAATCACATTAAGAAAAGCCATGGTGGAAGCCAGAACTAATCCAGTTAAAACGTCTATCCACCTTAAATGGCCCAGAATGGTACTGGGCTATGAAGAATCAGTTGCCTTTTAAAAATAATTGGAAAACTATTATAAATCAACTTCAATTTGGTGGATTAATTTTCTTTCACAGAGTTAATTCAGCTTAACATAGAACACAATAGCAACTCAAGCTTTAGCATCATAGTCCTTTACCTACTTACTAAGTTATGAGTTTGCTGGAAATCCTCTTAGCCTCTTTGGATTTCTTTCCTCAAATGTAAAATAGGATAATGTAGTATCTAATGTTTATTGTAAAACTTAAGTTAAATAAGAACATAATGCCTAGCATATTAAAGGGCTTAATAAGTGTACTTTTTATTATTAAGTATGTCATCTTTTGTACAGTTATTTAAAAAACCTCATCCACCAAAACGAGTGAGGAGTCGACTCAATGGAGACAGTGCAGGAATCTCAGTCCCACCAGGATCCACGAGTGACAAGATCTTTTTCCATCACCTAGACAACCTGAGGCCTTCCCTAACACCCATAAAAGGTAAGGCGATGAGAAATAAACTGTTAACTCATGATTTGATGGCATTGTTTAATAATCTTAATTCAGCAAAAGCAAACTTGTTATTTAGCAATTGTGTCTTTTGTAGTAAGTACTGTATACTTTTTGTGTAAAATTACTGAACACTTTCTAGTATCTTCTTTTTTCTGTTTTCTTTATTTCACCAGTTGGATTCTGTATCAGAAAGAGCCAAACATATTTCTCCCTTCTGTTAATTTAGTCAATTCTAAGATATCAAAATTTTGTAACTTCAATTTTACTTGCAGAAAAAACTTTGTCTACATTTTTTATTTTTCCTACATGTATTCAGTATATCAAATAGCAGTAGGAAGACGATGAAATAGATGGACATCATTACTGCAGGTACATGTATGAAGACACGAATGTTGTGGCTCTACTTTGTGTACAACCAGAGACATGAAAAATTGTGTTCTATATGTTTACTATGAATTGAAATGCACCGTGCTGTCATATATAACAAATTAGAATAAATAAATAAGTTAAAAAGAAAAAAAATAGCAGTAGGCAGACCATATTTTCAATATGCCAACCAAAAGACATCCTACCTTTTATCTAATGGTACACTTATCTAAAAGAAGTTTTTGAGGTAGAAATTTTACCCTTAAAATGAAAAACAAATGTTTTGTAAAGTCTTGAAGTTGGTCACTTTAATCAGTTTAAGAGTTGGAGCATCAAACTGATTTGGTAGGCCACACTCTGCCATTCTATCTCATCACAGGGAATCTGCTCCTTGCTATCTCCTGTCACTGCCCAGTGTCTGTTCTGGAGGTTTAGTTGTTTGGCAATTTCTTACGTGGAGTAGGAAGACCATGCCTCTTGGGGCATGTTATAGCCTTCCTTTAAGTCTGTAGCTTGCAAGGTGCTGATGATATAGGTTGGTTGATGGGCTGTGACCCTCTGCATTCTGAGAAGTACCTCAGATTATTCTGTGTAGCAGCAGAAACACAGGACTGGAGGGAAGTTCTGCAGAACACCTGTCTGGGTGACACCCCACCCAGCACGTCTGGGAGCAGCCTCAAAATCCAAGCTTTGCTACTGATATCATTTGGTCTTAGGTATCAGGATGCTTGATTTGTATGAATATTTGAGATTACCTTACCATACCTGTGGGATAATGAAGTTAGTTTCCCTGTCTTGTCCTAATGTAATGATTTATTATTTTTTTGTTTTGTTTTGTTTTTGGGTTTTTATTAATAGAACTCAAAGAGCCTGTGGGACAAATAGTATGTACGGATAAAGGTATTCTTGCAGTAGAACAGAATAAGGTTCTTATCCCACCAACCTGGAACAAAACTTTTGCTTGGGGCTATGCAGACCTCAGCTGCAGACTGGGAACCTATGAATCAGACAAGGTTTGTGGTTTCTTGCTTTCTCATTTAATCTTGCTCTTTCATGGCATGGATATCTTGATAATGGGGGTGGAGAGAGCACAGTCCAGCGGATTGTCAGCTGTTCCTCCAAAGGCCAGAAGAAAGGAGAGTGTCATTGCATCAGACAAAGATAAGGGAGCTAGTGGAGAAGTCATGTTTCCTGCAGAACAAGCCTCTTTTGTAAGCTGAGTAATAGGGGCTGGTTGTTCCCTTCCTGCCCACAGAATTCCTCTAAAAGATCCTAGCCAACAAGGTGCTCACCATTTCTGCCAACCAGAATAGCCTGCTTTTGGCAAGTCACCATCTGGTCCACTTATCATTTTAATGTTCTAAAATGGCTGACAGAAAACTTGTTACCCCACCCCACAGGAACCAGCAGCAGCTGCTGTGAGTTCCATAATCATCTCTTTGAGAGGCCATATGTAGTGATCCTTCAGCTACCCTGTGTTTGCCCTTGAGCCCCTCCCAACTGTAAGATGGATAGACTCTGCCCAGCCTTTTCCATTCCACTGCCAACATGATTTTGCTTAGTTTATGTTCTCCTTCAAAGCACTGTGCTTTCTGTGCACATGCTTCCACTGGTTACAGCCTACACCCTTTTACCGGATCACCTCCTGCTTCTTACATAGCAGCACCACACAAATTGAACATCATTTTCCCACACTGGAGAAACCAGAGATCCCCATGATGAATGAAGTCCTTTTTAATTATGGTTCTTGGCAGCAAGTACAGTTAGGAAACTATGGGAACAATCCAGTGTGGAGCTTCAATGGAAACATCACAAAACTAAAACCAACCCAGAACGTGAGTTGGTGTGTGCCTGTGAGGTGCCTCAGCTGAGGGCCTTGCCCTTTACTCAGCTCTGCTGCTTGCACAGCTGAAGTCTAGAGCACTTGGTGGCATGTGTGTCTCACATCTGTTTTGTTTTACAGGCAGTAACTGTTTATGAATGTTTGTCAGAGTGGGGCCAGATTCTCTGTGCAATTTGCCCCAACCCCAAGCTGGTCATTACAGGTGGAACAAGCACGGTTGTGTGTGTGTGGGAGATGGGCACCTCAAAAGAAAAGGCGAAGACCCTCACGCTCAAGCAGGTAACTGAGGGTGAGCAGATGGAATGGGCTCATTCCATCTCAGCCTGCTCTGGAGAAACTAACAAAGCTTCCTTCGTCCTAGGTACATCAGGCATAACATAAAAAACCAAAAAGTGCTCTTTTGCTAGAAATTCTTAAAAAAAAAACATACTATTTCTAAAAATTATCAAGCTGATTCTTTTTTAAAAATTAAAGCAAGTCATTTTTAGGTAATATATGTTGATATATTTAAGTAATATAAATATTTCTTACAAATTATATGTTTATTAACTTTTTGAAAATCAAATTATATTTGCTGTTGATCCTTACTAATTTCAAGATGATTTACATTTAGATGAACCACAAAGTCGTAGTTGTTTCTCTCTTCTTTTGTCATTTCCTTAAGGACCTGCCAAACTCATAATATTTAGTAGAATCCTTGAAGATTTAGTTAACAGGTTTTTCTAATCACATAATTTTCATTTAAAGCAGTAATCTGTTTATAAGTAAGCCATCTTTTTAAAAAAAATTTGTAGTTGTAGATGGACAGAATGCCTTTATTTTATTTGTTTATTTTTATGTGGTGCTGAGTATTGAACCCAGTGCCATATGCATGCTAGGCAAGTGCTCTGCCACTGAGCTATAGCCCCAGCCCAAGCCATCTTTTAATATTTGACTTATGAGAGAATTTATCATAAGATGTTGTTTAAATAAGAAGCATACATTTAAGTATTTTTTTATTATTATTGAAAAGTAGTGTAAGTACTATCATTTATTGCATGCCTCCTATGTTAAGGACACTATGCTGGGTGTCTTAAAAATACAGAACTTCAATCCTTACAATTTCATAAGGAAGATATTAAGCACACTTTACACCTGAAAAAAAAAAAAAGAGAGAGAGAGAGAGAAAGAAAGAGGTCAAATGACATGCTCAAAATTATAGTTGTGAAAAAAAAACAGAATTTAAATTCAGTTCTGACTCCAAAACCATTTTAGATATACTTTTGAACAGTAGTATCTTAAATATCTGTAGAAAGAATTGGACCCCTGGTACTTTTACCAACAACCATCTAAATAGACCAGAGGCTTCATAGACTTCCTGAGTCCTGTGGCAGATCACACCAAGAGAAGCAAACTCCTGAAACAAACAAGCACCAAATTGACATACATTCTGCTGATACAAACTCCTGCTTAAATATTTTTAAATTAGAAAAAAGATTCTGAAGATGACATGCCAGTCAAATGGGGTTTGCTAAACACACCATGCAGACGTCTGTGTGCCCCAAATTTTAAACCAACTCATTATTTAAGCAGGCATATTCTTCTGCCAGGGAAGATGGCCCATTCTGATACTCAGGGACTCCTTAACAGTAATCTTGATATTTCCCTTCAAAATCCTTACTTATTTTCACTTACTACCATTCATTCCCGTGGGTCCTGTTTCTATTCATTTTCTAGCAAAAGAGAACAGTTCTTATTCCAGTTTGAAGAAGGAGTTCCTCTCAGAGAGAACTCCTCAGATATTTCCCATGGAGTAGAAGGACTGCACATTGACACATCAGAATGACACTGTTCCCTTGTCTTTCAGAACCAGATACTGCAATCTTGTTGTTCTCATCATTTGTATATTTTTATTTTTTAATTTTTGACTAACATAAAATAACTGCATGTAGTTTGTGCACCTTAAAAAAAAATTCATCAATTACAGGTCCTCAGAATAAACAAACAGGTGTTTGTGACATAAGAGAATGGACACACAGTTTCAGTTCTGTTTGGGGGCCAATTATCAGTGTATTTCCACATAGAAATAGCATGAAGAAATCCAAGCTGGGTTGCAGCTGCCAATCCCCATGCTCTCAACTATGCTGACCTATGTTTAGGAAAGTAGAATAAAACTCGTCCCCCATCCATACTAGATGAGCCCACGATGGGCCACATGAGGAGAAAGGTCAGCCCCGCACTGCCCAGATGGCCCCACTCAGGGCACCCACTGCCCTCAGCATAGCTTCTATCTGATGAATCTGGGAGCTTCTGAAGTCGCTTATGAGATCTGTTACTGTGATTGATCTGATATGTTGCTGTTTTCTTTTGTAGGCCTTACTTGGCCACACTGATACTGTCACCTGTGCCACAGCATCACTAGCCTATCACATAATTGTCAGTGGGTCCCGTGACCGGACATGCATTATTTGGGATTTGAATAAACTGTCATTTCTAACCCAGCTACGAGGCCATCGAGCTCCGGTTTCTACTCTTTGTATCAATGAATTAACAGTAAGTATTAAATTGCACAATTGTTTTATATTCAGGGGAACCATACTCAGTAAAAAATGACTTTTCCTAAGCTGATAGACACTCATTCTGAAAGTCACTACATTTCTCTTGATTTCTGTGTTTTTTGAAAAGCAGATGGAGATTAAAATTTTTGACCCAAAGAGTACTTGTGTCTTAAAATTTATTCACTACTAGGTACTTTAAAGTACAAGATTTGGTTAAAATAAAACAAATATGATATGCTTTTTAAAAAATAAGGAACTCATGGGATTTATTAAGAATGTTCAGGCTGGGGTTGTGGCTGCATGGTAGAGCACTTGCCTAAGCACATATGAGGCACTGGGTTCAATTCCCAGCACCACATAAAAATAAATGTTCATCCACAAATTAAAAATATATTTTTTTAAAAAAAGAATGTTCAAATTTTGTTGAAATTTTTAACAAAGTACATTATTTGTTTTGAAAAGTGAAAAGAGTAGGTTTTGGGTGCCCAAATGAGAAAATTTGTTATTATTTTTAAAACATTCTCAAATTATCAAGGAATTTTAATCTCAAAAATAAATATTTTATAAATAAAAATAAAAATAAATCCACTGGACTAGAAGTTCCCCACATAGAGCAAGTCCCATTGAATTGAACAAAAGAGGGAGTCCTCTTTATCACTAAGGGGTTGTCAGGCAGGGGAAGCTTAAGAGTAGGTTTATAAAAAATGAGGTTCATAAGTCCAAGGGTACATTACTATAGGATAACGTGTCCTGTCCCAGGAACCCACCCCAGCCTCTTCACTAACAACATTCCCATTCCCTCCTCATTCCTGCCCTGTGGCCACCTTTAGGAAATGGTAGTTCTCACCATGTTATTGAGGGATGTTTCTGTTACCATCCACACAGACAACTTTCCTTTTCCTTCACATTTTTTATTTCTTTCAGACAATACTGTTTTATATTTACAATCAAATATCTTGTAGTCACACCAAAAAAAAAAAAAATAGTTCTGGTGAAAGGCTTCTGGAGTGTCTCACTGATGGTAGGAGGACTCACAAATGTGAATAAGTTGGGGAAGGAAGGGTAACAGAGTCAAATTTGGTATTGGTGTATTTGGTAGGTTTAAGATATTTCAGAACACAGCCTTGGGTTAGGCCTGAAAACTTTTATTTCTAAAGAACTGTAGAAAAATATAGGAGCGACAGAACCACTCTGACCTAACAGTGTGTTACTCTGAGTCAGATGCTTAATTTCATTGAAGTTCTTTGTTTTGAAGTTGTTCTTAAATAGAATTTTATTTACAGTCAGTTATTTGAGCCATTATACACCCACTGGATTGTAATAGTTGCTGCAAACACTGGGGTTTTTTTTCCTTTTCTTTTCATAAATGTTTTTTATAGTTTCTTAACACATGAAAATAATTCTATTTCTGTTTATCCAACCAATATCCAATGTGCTTAACTTGTGTTTACATTTTGGGCCCAAGTTCCCTTGGCAGCTGCTCTTTATTTCTTCTTCTATGGCTCAGCCCTCATGACCACAATATTCGCTTTAATGCATTCTTAATTGTATCCCCCTGGAGTCACTGAAGAGGTCTTGCCTAGTGCAGAATGAAGTGGCTGTCTCTGGTTTCTTGCAGAGACCAGGGACACTAATTAAAACTCACCTGCTGACACTCAGAGACAGCTCAGTGACTGATACAGAGGTAGACAGAGCAACAGAGAGTATTATTTGTGTTCGGGTTTGTTTAGCTTCTTGCTATGGAGCTAGAGGGGCTGTAGAGAGGGGCTAGGAACAGTAGATGAGCAGAGAGTGCAGCCTTGTCATCCCACCCCAGTGTCCCTTTGCCTTCGTCCTTGTGTTGGTGCTGCTACTCAGCTTCTGGTGCTCCCTCTGCTTTTGATGACCATCTTCTAATATCTAATAGATTGTTGTGAATTTCCCGACTGCCCTGCAATCACTAGGTCAATTCTAAAGTAACAGCCAGCAATGGAACAACCAGGCCACCTTAGGATTAGAGTGGCAGTACAGGATGGTTTGTGAACATTGGGACTACAGAGAACTGCTGCTGTGCCCCTCACTGTCACCCTCTGAAGCCTATCTGGTGCTAGCTGACCTCACAGGGTCACTGTGAGGGTCAGACTTGAGGGAAAGGCCTTTCCTTCTGGCCTTTGGAATTCATGTTTTCATGAGTTATCAGCTCAGGGAATCTTAGATTTTATTAGAAGTGACTTACATGCCAGGTTTCTTTTTTCACCCTCATTCTCCCACCCTTCTTGTGAATGTGAATTTTAAAAAAAGGTATTATGATGTTACCAAGATATTACCATGTCATTTGTTGGAGAGACACAATATACCTGGACTGAATATTTTTTCTTCTACCCTATAGTGTTGATGATTGGACTCAATTATGTAAAAGTCTGTGTGGGTGAATTCCTCTAAATGAAAAGTATAAATAGAGTTTGTAAACAACAGGAGGAAGAAGAACATTTTGTCACCCCCTCTGATGACATAGTACTTTGTGGTGGAATGAGAGCTTGCTCAGCAGTGTGCTGGGCACAAACTTCTCTCTCATCTCCATTTGTGACCCCCTGACATAGCATCCACTCAGCTTTGAATTTTTAAAGAAGCCTCTTGAATTTTTAAAGAAAATCAGGATATTTATTTTTAAGTCATTAAGCAGTGAATTCTAAGTTACCTTAGAAATAATTCAGCCATTAATCTAGGGAATGAGGTGTTTTTGAGAGCAGGCCAAAGATGCAATTATTTTTCTGAAACTAATATATAATATGAAGAGAATGAACAGTCTTCCTTTATCTTGCAGGGGGACATTGTGTCCTGCGCTGGCACATACATCCATGTGTGGAGCATTAACGGGAACCCTATCATGAGTGTAAACACGTTCACAGGTTGGAGCCAGCAGATCGTCTGCTGCTGCGTGTCAGAGATGAACGAATGGGACACACAGAATGTCATAGTAACAGGACACTCAAATGGAGAGGTTCGGGTAAGTGGGCACAAAGAAGTATTTGGTGTCCTAGTTGTCTGAAAATTAGGAAGCTGTTTAAAGTGTAAGGATACCTGTTCAGGTTGTTATGTTTAGCAGAGTCTCCCTGCTATCCACATGGGCCCTGGCCCATGCTCATCAGTTATGGTGAACATCAGAGATTGGGCCCCTTTTCTTCCTACTTAGTAGAGCTGTTAGTGCTACTGACGGCCAACAGCTTAACACCAGAGATCACTTAACCATGATCCCCCTGCCACATGGGACTGCTCACATTGTGAACTGTGTAAATACTGGGTTTTCAACCTGTCAAATAATTTTGTAGGAAAAATGTAGTTAGTGGGAACAGTGTCTTCTGTACAGAGTAGCACAGAGCTAGACAATGTATCCAGTGACCTCAGGCTTTTTACTGGGCTAGATCCCACGTGATTGCTCCTGAAACCTAGAAGTGGTATATCTTTTTCTTAGTTTTCTGAGTCTGGCCTCTTCAGAAAAGAGAATCAACAGAGTATTTACCTTTGTAGTCTATGCAAATATTTGCATTTTTCTCACTCAGATTTTTCTTTGTGCCTGTTTTTTTTTTTTTCTTTGTCAAAGCAAAGAGCAGCTGGTTACCGCCCTTCTTAGTCACAGTGCATGCTTAGAGACAGTGAGGCTGCCAGCCCACTCCCCTGCCACACCCTGTGCCTCAGACAGCAAGTGCTCGGGCACGCACATGCACTCCCAGAGGCTGCCTTCTTGAGTGGTATTCCAGGTCACTGGATTATCGAGGTGTTATGAAAAGCTCCACAGTCAGATACATTTGGGGATCCTGCTGGCTATGTGCCTTCTTGGAGATCTGCAGTAGATATTTGTATATGCAAGACTCTTGAGATTTTTATAGGAAACAGAAGTTTACTTACTTCGTTGAACCATGTTTTGAACTTACTTTTCCACATTCATCTTTATCCACTCTGAAACAGTCATTATGCAAGACAGTTCCTGCCACATTTGACAAGACACAAGGAACTCTGCATTGGTGCAATCCTAGAAAGGAAGTTATGTGTTTAACCTTGAGAGCTTGTCCTCATCCACTAACATGTACATCATTTCCTTGATTTGATTATCCACTTTTTTCTTTTTTTACTTTCGTACTTAAATGTAGTTTTGGAGAATGGAATTTCTGCAAGTTCCTGAAACACCAGCTCCTGAACCTGAGGAAGTCCTAGAAATGCAGGAAGACTGTCCAGAAGCACAAATAGGTATTTCATACATTATAAAAAATATTTGGTCACCTTCTATATTATTCTTTTTATTATTATTATTATATATTTTTTAAAGTCACTAGGAGTAACTTTATACCACACAACATAATCAAGGGCCCAAGGTTGGCCGTGGCTCACAAGAGCAGAGTTGCTGCCTGTTGTATAATTACTTTGGGCAGGTGTGCCAGGGTTTCTCCAGTTTACTGCACACACTCAGTGTAGCAGTGTTTTGTTGATTTCCACATTTCAAACTAAATTTAGGACAAACTTCCTAGAGGACCAAAGCTGTGAAAGGACCAAAGTTCTGAAAATACAAAGCAGATATGGAGGCACAGTGTTAGATAGTAGGATGACCGAACACCTCTCTTCCAGGCCTGTTCTGCCCGCACCTGGCTGTTCAGTCTGGACAACAGAGTGGCATCATGTTTATAAACTATCCACAGAGCCAGGTCAGAGTCCACCTTCAGTGTCCTCACCCAATACCTGCTTACATGGGGCATTAATTCAGGCTGATGCCTAGCAACCTGTGATCTACTATGTATTATTTGTGAAACACTTTAACATTTCCCCATGAAATAAAGAACTAGGTGATTTCTAAACAGAGTGACTAGAGTAATGCCATAAAACCAGGCAAGTTGTGCTTTGCATTAGTAATATCCAGAGAAGCTGCACCTCTAATGTAGAACAGTTGGGACAAGGGACTGACTAGAAAGGACTGTCATTTGAAGTTTGACCTTCCTATTGTCTGTGATTAATTTTTGTACACTGAGAATTCAGTGTCATTTTGATCACATGAGGGAGTTTCTAAGAGCAAAGACTTGCTATCAGAAAGATAGGAATAACTTCTCTTTGTAAACTGAAAATAGTCTGTACTTTCTATGCCAGAAAAAATAGGATCCTGGGAGTGGGACATTTTCACACTGTATTATACACTTGTCTTATGTTCATACATGTAAATTTCTACATAGACAATTGCACTTTTAACCAGAAAGGTCATCTGAATGTTTTAAAAAGAACATAAAAATTAAGCTCAATTCAACAGTTATTTGGGGGTTACCTGTAATGTGTGGGATAATGAGTTAAGGATTCCAGTGAGAAGTGGTCGCTTTTCCTTCCTTTAACAAAGCTTATTAAGTGTGTTGACAATGAAAGATGGGATGAATAAGTGAGATGGAAAAAGGGATCAAATTCAGGGTAGAGAGGTTTATATGTCGTCTTCCTTCTCGTGTATTTATACAGTGGACAGAGTTAGGCACAAGTGGTAGAAAGGGGAGAGCTGCCCCTGGGGAGGATTGGCTCTGATCAGTGTGGCAGTGATGGGATTTGAAGATACTTAATTGGGTGAAAAGGAAGCAAGGGATTCACTGAGAATCAAAGCCATTTCCAAGGTGAGTTAGGGCTTATGCTAATGATTGATTATACCTTAGGGCTCATGAGAATTAGCCATTGGGGTAACAGCTCCATTCAAATTAGTCCTAGACTCCTGAGAGTTAAAAGAAGCACACAATACATTTGTCCTATTTAAAAAAAAAAAAAAAATCGGTATGCAGTGAGATGGCACTACACACCCACATTTGTGTGCTCTCTTTTATTCCAACTATATGTAAATACATATTCTCGCATAGATTTCTCTTTTAGGAGACTATTACAAAGAGTGGAGAATTGATTGCAAAATGGCAATGAAAAGAGAAAGAAAAAATCCTAAATTGAAGCTTTCCTCAGTAACTCCTTCATCAGTGTGGTCGTTTACTTATTGACCGCTTTAGGCAAGACACTGGGGTTGGCTCTTTCTGCTGTCTGGTAGAAAGAATGTCCAGGTGTAATGGTGAAGAGTGAGGATTTTAAGTACCTGAGAGGAATAGGACTGGTAAAGGAGTCCAGAAGAGGGAGGGAGTACCTTCAGGCGAAGTAATTGGGTTGAATTTTAGAGAAAGAAGTGTGAAGCTTTGGCTTGCAAGACAGGCGATGGCCAAACACACAGATGCTGAGAAGACAGGTCTCCATCAGGCCGATGGTACGGGCAAACCCAGCCATGAGGAGGGGTAGAGCTGTGTGAAAAACACCTAAATGGCACATCTCTCTGGACTGGGGTGGGGAGTGTGAGGTTTTGGTCAGACTGTGAATGACTAAATGCCAAACTAAGGCCAGAGAACTCTGAAACTTTTCAGAAATTCTACCCATTGTTGCTATCCGAAATCTTGCTAAATCTGGGTGGGTGTTTTTTTTCCCTTTGGTTATACTTAGCTTAAAATATTATGTCTCTGAGTCTTGTATATGATAGGAAAAAAGATCAGTGGAACAAAGCTGGGTCTGATTGTGATGTGTCTGTATTTTCTAATTCTCCCAATGCTTTACCCAGGGCAGGAAGCTCAAGATGAGGACAGCAGTGATTCAGAAGCAGATGAGCAGAGCATCAGCCAGGAACCTAAGGACACTCCTAGCCAGCCCAGCAGCACCAGCCACAGACCTCGGGCAGCCTCCTGCAGAGCAACAGCCACCTGGTGCAATGACAGTGGCTCTGATGACTCCAGGCGCTGGTCTGACCAGCTCAGTCTAGATGAGAAAGATGGCTTCATCTTTGTCAACTATTCGGAGGGCCAGAGCAGAACCCATGTACAGGGCCCCATTAGCCACCCACATCCCAATCCTATGGAAGCACGAAATTACAACAGATTGAAACCTGGTAACTTGAAGTTTGGTATCTATTTCTTGCTTACTGTGTGAGGGTTAGTTGACCAAGTAAGGCCTCCCTGGGCTTCATCTCTGAGGTGCTCTGATTTAGAGAATCTGACCTGCTGGGCATTTTTTAAATGCCAAAAACTTCATTCATTCAGAAATTATGAAAGCTTGTGAAAATAAGCAAGTATTAGTTATAAATAAATAGATAAAGCTGGGGTTGGGGTTGTGGCTCAGTGGCGCAGTGCTTGCCTTGCACATGTGAGGCACTGGGTTCCACATAAAAATAAATGAGCAAAATAAAGATATGTGTCCATGTATGACTAAAAAAATATTTTTAAAAAAAATAGATAAAGCTACATTAGCAGGCAGCTTTACCTAGAGGCAAGGTTTTCAAAATCTTGCATTGAAGGTTTCTCCTTCTCTTCAGTTTCTTGTTTGGAATGAGACACTTTCTGACCTGATCCCACAGGTCACTGACAACTAGATTGCTTTCCCTGCATTCAGGGAGGCCATGGCTGGAACTGGAAAGGCTACTTGAGCTTATATTGAGGCACCCTGCCTCTTAAGGCCACCAGGTATAAGTGTATCACTTCTCAATTTGGTGTGTCGTGTTCTTCACTTCTCCCCACTCCAGGGTACCGGTGGGAACGGCAGCTGGTATTCAGGCATAAGTTCACTATGCACACAGCCTTCATTCGAAGGGACAACACACACCCAGCTGAAGTCACCGCACTTGGCATCTCCAAGTAAGTGTCCGTCTTCTACCCTACTTCCTCCAAGTTTCTTGCATAGCCAGGGTACACATGTTTCAGCCTTGAGGAAAACAGATTTCATGCTCATCCTCTGTAAAGGAAACTTGCCTATGTGTGGATTTAATTTAATTTGAGTTTTATAAAACATTACCCTCTGTGTTCTTCAAAAATACAGCAAGGTTCAGTTCAAAGAAAGTAATGGAAAAGTAAATTCGGGCCCAGTACTATTTCTGTCTCTTCCAACATGTTTCCCCTGAGGGAATTCAGGGGTTCCTCATGACCCTCACCGCTCCCACCCCAAAATACACCCCAACACTAGACCAGAGGCCTTCTTGTGTCTCCTACAGGGACCACAGCAGGATCCTCGTTGGTGATAGTCGAGGCCGAGTCTTCAGCTGGTCTGTGAGTGACCAGCCAGGCCGCTCTGCTGCTGACCATTGGGTGAAGGACGAAGGCAGTGACAGCTGCTCCAACTGCTCTGTGCGGTTTTCTCTCACAGAAAGGCGACACCATTGCAGGAACTGTGGACAGCTCTTCTGCCAGAAGTAAGATGAGACATGTGCTTTTTGAATGCTATGGATTACACTCTTAAGTCCATTTGTTATGCCCTGGGTACAAGTTCCAATTGTTCTGGTGTGCCTACTGCATTATACTCTGCTAGTATAAACAGTGTTCTTTTCTATTACTATAATTATGAAATATTCCTATCATAAAAAGTACAGAAATAGTCATTAAAACACCTGGTCACCTGTGACTTAGAATGCAGATATGCTAACATTTCATGTTTGCTTAGGTGTGTGCAAGGCAGGTGCATAGAAATGGTGTAAGTAGACTTCAGGTCTTCTCTTCCCCTTCCCATTCATACCCCTTTTGCTCCCCATGTTTTTACTTTCATGAGCAACTGTTACTTCTATAAACTTTGTTACATAAAATTCTTTTCTCAGCCTTCTATTGCATGTTGCCTGTAGCCTTGTGTAACTTTTTTACTTAATTTTTTAAAAATTCATTTGCACATACAACTATTATACTGAAGTATTCACTTTGCTGCCAGGTATTTCATTTTTATGATTGTATGAAAACTTACTTCCCTTTTGATGGACTCTGAAGGGTTTGGGGTTTTTTTCCATTTTGCACATACTACAAATAATGCCACAGAGTGTGTCCTTGTAAAGCATCCTTCTAATGCACAGGCTGCATCTCCTCTAGAGAAGGAATGGAGTTGGCAGAACCCAGACTTTGTCTTGGGCTTAACTTGCTCTTGGCAAATTACTCTCCAAAACAGTAAGTGCTAGTTTATACTGCTTCTAACACATTGTGAAAGTTTTCCAAATTCTTAGTCATGCTCACTATTGCCAAACCTTTCTCCTTTTGCCAATCTGATAGGTAAGGAAGTAGGCTTTGTCATTTTAATTTGCGATGCTGGTGAGGATGGACATCCTGTCTGTTGACATTTGGTGTTCCTCTTGGCTAACTGCCTGATTTCCTTTCAGGTTCAGTTGTCTCTTCTGGTTTTTTTTTCCTTGAGGAATTTTTTGTATGCTTTGTGCTCCACTCCTTTTATATATCATGAACATATCTTCTGCCATCTGTCTTGTATTTTAACTCCATGTATGATTTTTTTGTCATACAAGGTTTTAATTTTGATGTGATTGTATTTATTATTCTGTATGATTTTTTAATTTTTATATCTTCATATTTCTGTGTCCTGAGATCATAAAGATAACTTTATTTTCTTTTAATGGGTTTGAAGTTGACAGGCATGCTGGTGGCTATAACCCCAATGAGACTGAGAGGAGGGTGGCAAGTTTGAGGCCAGCCTCAATAACTTAAGAGAGATTCTGTCTCAAAATAAAAAATAAAAAGGGTTGGGGATGTAACTGGGGTTCACTTTCCAGTACTGCGAAAACAAACAAAAAGATTTAAAGCTTTTACAATTTTCGCATTTAGGTTTTTAACTCATTTGGGGTGTGACATGAGTCAGGGAGTTTTGTTTTGTTTTGTTTTGGTTTTTTGCCCCGTAAGAAGAGTTGGCTGTGCTGCAGCCTTGGATCTGGACATTTTCTCTGTTGTACACTGGTGTCCCCCATGTTCCCTGCCAAGTAACAGTGTACTTTCATATTTACACTGCCTTACTCCAGCAACTTTTTCACTGAAAACACATTATCCCATATTGAAGAATCTTTTTTGAAGCAGTTGTGGAGGTTGTATAGGGAGCACCGGCCGTTGGTAAGGGCATGGCCTTTCAGTTGACTTTGATCAAATGCTCACTAGGCTGCCCTGACCTCAGGCAAGTTGCTGAACCTCTCTGAGCTTGTTTCTTCATCTGTAAAATATTTCCACAGTGATCCTCCCCTCATAGAGGTACTGAGAGAATTGAATGAGCTCATGCATGTTTAAGTGTTGGAAAGCACCAGGTACAAGTCTAGCACTATAGATATTCCATAAAATGTATCATAATTTTTTATTTTTTTCCTTAAACCTTTTCTCTTATGCAGTCTGATTTTAGATGATGTCTCCAAAATGTTGCTCCAGCATTCCTGATAGAAACTATCTGAGATTGGCAGAGGATCCTGTTGTGTGGCTCTGTGCTATGATAGGCCTACTCTACAAACCTAGTAACCTAGGAATTTCTGATTACACCCCCATATGTATCCTGGTATACATCTGTTCTTTGTAGTGTTTAATTTCATAATATTGTCTAAAAATAGGTAACTCTTTAAATTATTCATTCTTATTAAATGTTAGATGGAACTGTCTCGGGATCATTGACCAAACAGGGACTGGTTGTGGTGAAGCAGCCAAAGCAAGAAGCTGTCCAGGAGGGCACAGCCTGCCCATGGTCTTCGTGCCCTTCAGCTGCTGACACCTGTCGACATTCCTGAGAGTTTCCATAGAATCCAGAAACTCCCTAAAAGCCCTTAAGCCTGGAGCATTTAATTTATACTTTTGAGCACTTAGATCAATGGAGATCAATATAAATCTCCATTTTCAATTCTGCAAAAATTCAAACTTAAAGTGATTTAATGCCACATACAGTATCATATCCTGCTTTATTCCAGGAATAGCAGCTCTGAATACTTTTTTAAGGATATGAACATATCTTAAGTATTGTCTACTTAAAGGAATTCTGTCTACCTAAATAGAAAATGAGAACATTTGGACCAGACAAAAAAAACCAAACTACCTATTTCTAAGAAATGATTGTGGTGCTAAGAGTGTAGCTTAGTGGTGGAGTGATTACCTAATGTGCATGAGGCCCTGAGTTCAATCCCCAGTACCACCAATCAAAAAAAAAAAAAAAAGAAAAATGATTTGAGAGTAAATCTATCAAAACATTTTAAGTTAAGGAACTTGTTTAGGGATCAAAGTGTCTTTTAAAATGGGCACAATGGCTGAAAAAAGGTTATTAGCTACTCACCTCCTCCTCTTCTGCCTCTTCCTTCTCCAAAAGGAAGAACCAAAGCAATAGGTATATGCCTGCATGTTGAGGTAAGTGTCCCTAAGAGATCACTGAAAATCAACAGGAGAAAAAACAGAAGCTTCATTAACATCCAGAGACCTGGGACAATATAGTAAGAGAAACAGAATCTCCCAGCACCTGCCACCCCAGCTCTATAGCAGCAGGGAGGAGTCTCCCCTCTGCAGAGGTAATGACGAAAGAGAGAATCCTGGTAAACTTGAAGTGCAGATGCTGGCAATCTTAGCTATTATAAAATTTCACAGTCTTTCCTAAATATATAAGAAATCTGAGAACTGCACAGTAGCTTGATTTTCATAAAAAGAATTCACTATATCTCCCAGTGAACCTTAACATACTATAGCCAGGAGTCATCTGAATAAGGGACCTATTTATTTGTCGTCTGAATTTGGACTGCTCTAGGGTCAGAAATACATACATATTCCTTTCTCTGGACCTCTACAGATATTTCACTGCACTGATTCAGCAAGTAGTTGCCTCACAAACTAAACTTGGCTGAGTAGAGTGAATCTGAAACAAACCTGCTGAGAGCACTACACTATAAGGAACAGGTGTTGCAACACAAAGGGTGCCGTCTTCAAGAACTGGGGCAGGTTGTGTTAGGGATGTTTCTTCCAAGACCAGGGGTGTGGTCAGATAGATGTGCATGGTTTTATAGGACTGCCAGGATGAAATCAGTTGCCCACATGATTCCAGCCATCCCTTCTCCCAGTGCCCTGAATGGGCACTTGATACTAACAAGATAGAGAAAGAACTCTGATTCCGCTGCTCCCCCTCCCACAGGAGTCTGATGAGGAGATCTTGAGCAAGCCATGCTCCAGCTGTCACCCTGCTTCTGGTGCATGTAGCCTAAGAAGGTTGGAGAGAAACTTTGCCCAGCACTGGCCATGTTCCATTTTCGCTTGCTCCAGCAAGCACTTCGGCTGAGAAGAGTTTTGCCAACTTCAGCCGCAACCCACTGATGCTTGAGCAGGCACTATAATTGGAAAAATTGGGAGAAAAGCTCAGCTATCACCCTGTTCCCAGATACACATGGCTGTGGCAGGAGCACATGAGGTCTCATTTCAGAGTAAGGCATGACCACAGTAGCAGCAAGGAGGAACACAACACCTGCTATGCCCCACTTGTATGAGTCACCACAATCAGTCACCACAATACCTTGTCTGATGCGTGACAACAGAACTGGGTATGAGTGCCATAGAGGAGTGTTGTGATTCCAGCTCCCCCTCTCCCCACAAAGCCTCTGGGCTCTCACCTGTGTCTTCAGTGGGAGGCCCCCTCACCACTATGGTACAGCTAGTGCTGGAGACCCTTACAAATACCAGAGCCAACATCAAGAATATCTGAGAACTACTGGGCATGGTGTTTGTTTCCCAGCACCTGGGAGACTGAGGCAGAAGGATACCAAGTTTGAGGCTGGCCTAGGCACTTTAGGTAAGACACTTGTCTCAAAATCTATAAAGGGCTGGGGATGTAGCTCAATGGTTGAGCACCCCTGTGTTAAATCCTGAATATCAAAAAAGCTGGGCATGGTGGCACATGCCTGTAATCCCAGTGGCTTGGGAGGCTGAGATAGGAGAATCTTGAGTTCAAAGCCAGCTTCAGCAACAGCGAGGTGCTGAGCAACTCAGTGAGACTTTGTCTCTAAATAAAATGCAAAATAAAGCTGAATAAATAAAAAAAACTTTTTAAAGTGCCTGAGAAACCCCCATCACCACATAGGAATCATCACACCTATTGTAGGAATGCATCCTACACCACCCATACTTGAACTGATGGAGTATCACTATCTTTGTATGACCTGCAGACCTATCTTTGTATGACCTGCAGAGACAGCAGGTCATACTCTCTTACTCTGATATGGTACACTGCCCCAACTCACTAATTACAGCAATAGGAGCTAAAGGGCTGTTATACTATAGAGTGAAGCTAGAAAAAAACTCAACATTGCCTACCAAACCAATACCCCAAGACTTATATTCAGGAGAAAGCCATTTACTAAGAAGACCATACCATAAAAGTAGTAGATCTCAACTGTGCAGATCAACATAGGAACATAAGGAATATGAAGAAATAAGGTGATATGAGACCTCCAAAAGATCATAACACTCTAGCAACAGATTCCAAAGATGTCAAAATGGATGCAGTGTCCGATGATGAATTCAAAATTATTTTTAAAAGCTCTAGGAGATCCAGGAGAATACAGATAAACAGATGAACTCAGAAGGTAACAGTGCAAGGATGAATGAGAAATACAGCAAAAAGAGGTTTTAAAGAACCAAACATCTTGGAAATGAGCTCAGTGAGTAAAAACATTCAGTTGAAAGTCTCAACAACAGATCAAGTGGAAGAAGGAATATTGTAAGTTGAAGACGGGTCATATTCAGACAGGAAAAAAATGACAATGAAAAGAGTATTCAGGATCTTTGGGACACCACTAAATGGTCGAACATCAGCATCACTGGTATATCTGAAGGGGAGGAAATAGAGATTTTAAAAAGCCTACTCAATTTAAATACTAATAGAAAACTTCCCTAATGTTGGAAGAGTTGGACATCCATGTACAGGAGTCACAGAACCCCAACAGACATGAGCAGTGTTTTCCTATTACCAAAATCTGGCAAGGTATAACAGCAAAAAAGAAAACTATAAACCAATATCCCTGATGAACATAGATGTAGATAGAAATACTCAGAAAATACTAGCAAAGCAAATTCAACAGCACATTTTTGAAAATTCATATCCCACAATCAAGTTGGTTTTACTTCAGGGTTTTAAGGATAGTTTACATGCACAAATCAATAACTATAATATATCACAAAAATAGAAAAAAAGAATAAAATCATATAATCATCTTAATAGATGTAGAAAAACATTTGATAAAATTGAGTAGCCCTTCATGATAAAAGCCCTGAACAAATCAGATATAGAAATATAATTCAGTAAAGTCTCTATCTATGAGAAACTCCACCATCATAATGCCAAATAGGGAAAAACTGAATGTATTTCCTATAAGATCAGGAAAAAGACAAGGTATTTATTCTCACACTCATTCAATGTTTTACTAGAAATTTTAGCCAGAGACCCTAAACAAAAGAAAGAAAAGTCACATAAATAAGAAAGGAGAAAATCAAATTATCACCTTTTGCAGGTGTTAGAACTGATATTTAATGAAGTTGCAAAATACAAAATTAACATACAAAAATCAGTAGCTTTCTTATACACCAATAATAAATTTGCCAAGAAAGAAATCCTGAAAGCTAGCAACAGCCAACAAATGTATGAAAAATACTCATTAGGGCTGGGGTTGTGGCTCAGTGGTGCCACAACTTGCCTAGCATATGTGAGGCACTGGGTTCAATCCCCAGCACCACATAATAAATAAATAAATAAATAGATAGATAGATAGATAGATAAATAAATAAATAAATAAATAAATGTAGGTTTAAAAAGTGCTCATTAGCCATCAGGGAAATGCAAATTAAAACTATAATGAGATACATTTCACCCCAGTTAGAGTGGCTGTTATAAAAAAATATATATTCTGAGAGAATGAAGAGATAAAGAACTTTTGTACATTGTTGGTGGGAATGTAAATTATTATAGCCTGGAAAACAGTGTGCAGGTTCCTCAAAAAACTAAAAATAGGGCCACCAAATGATCGAGCTGTCCTATTCCTGTGTAGACATCCAAAGGACATGAAGTGAGCATACAAAAGAGATTTGTATACCCCTGTTTATAGAGGCACTATTCATAAAAGCTAAGATATGGAATCAGCTTAAGTGCCTGTCTACAGATGAATACAGGATGAATACAGAAAACATATATATGCACAATGCAGTGATAAAGAAAAATGAAATCGTGTCATTTGTAGCAAAATGGATAGAACTGGAGATTATCATGTTAAGTGAAAAAAACTCAACACAGAAAGGCAAGTATCATGTTCTTTCTCACATGAAAACTAAAGCAAACAAAAAAAAAAAATTAAAAAGCTGACCTGAAAGAGTGACTACTAGGAACTGGGAATAGGAAGTGTGGCCAGGAGTGGGAGGTTGGGGGCAAGTGAAGGAATGGTAGATGGATATAATCAACACTCACTTATGCACGTATGGAAATACCACAGTGACTCTCATTAATATGTACAATTGATGTGCATTACTAAAAACAGATATAAATAAAATGGACAATTAGTCTTCTAATTTCCAAGGGGAAAAAACTTCTCTTCTGTGTAAAGACATCAACATACCGTCCAAGAGCACAGGCCTGGAGAACCAAGCAGACAGCCTCACACTGAGCTCTTTAGATCCCTGGGTTTCATTAATTTGGAAAATCTTAATTCTGTTTTTTGTTTTCTGTTTTCTAGTTCTCTAAAATCAAAGAAATGCCTTTCCTGGTATAATATATTTTTTCATAGGCTGAAACAAATAATGCAGCATCTCTTCTGGTTCCTGGTCAGCCACAGGATCAGACAATATTATGGCTTTGGGCATTCTCCTGGCATTGCATGCACCTTGGCCTCGACCTACAAGCCTTTCACTCAGTCTTTAAATCACTGTGCCTGGCCCAGTGATCACACAGAGAGAACCTATAATTAATTGATTTTTTTTTCTTTCCTTTTAGGTGCAGTCGATTTCAATCAGAAATCAAACGCTTGAAAATCTCATCCCCAGTGCGTGTTTGTCAAAACTGTTATTATAACTTACAGCATGAGAGGGGTTCAGAAGATGGGCCTCGAAATTGTTGAAGATTGAACAAGCTGATTAGAGACCACAGACCCCTCTCAGATTCCCCTGTCACAGCTCGGAAGGCATCAGAAACAGTCTCCGTTTACACATCTCTTCATACCACATGGTTGAAGTGTTGAATTCAAAGGGATCATTGAATAAACGGGTGTAGAGTACAGTACCGGGGCAGACACTATTCAGGTGGACAGCGCAAGAAGAATACAAGGTGGTTCCTAGGAACGACATTTTCAATATCCAGTTCTCCCAGATAACAGTAGCTGTCTCCAAGAGAAAAATCCTCACTTAATAACTGTCTTTTCCTGCATCTCATTTTTATAGAGCTATCCATCCTTATTTGGAAAAACCAACAAAAACAAAAAAGGCTTTTAGAAAATGGTTGTAAATCTGACTCCTTTGCAAGTAACTGTGTATATTGTAAATAGGTATAAAGGCCTTTTTTTCTAAATAAGGACCTAACTGCCTGTAACATGAGACTTCAAACTAAACCACTAACACAAAGAACTACTTATGGTTTGTCTAACATCTCTCACTTACCAACTGATTATAAATGTTTTTTTAAAATCCTCAAAGACATTATCTGTGTTTTTTTTCTTTTCTTTTCAAACCCAGCCTGTGTGCCTGATGTCATTTCTTTCAAGTTGCCCACAGTATCTCCACTTAAACTAGGCTAATAACCAAAATAATGTGGACCTTCTTTAGGAAACAGTGTGGGAGAATAGAAGTCCAGCCGTGAGATAACCTGGAAATATTAGGGCGTCTTGTACCTGGCTATGCACCACCTCAGTGTTGCTCTTATGTAACAAGGCCCCTTAAACTTGTGTGTGGACTGCTGTTTGGTCAAGGCATATATTCTTAGTGTTGCATAAAGGTGGTCAGGTGACTGATGTAGTGCAGGAAGCAGCCCTGCCTCAATTAATGGAATATATTTGCATGTGACCCCAAATTAGCTTTCTTGCATAGAACATAATAAGTATGTGTCTTTGGTGATACTAATGTTCTACTATAACATATTTTCAAAAAAAAAGGTTAAAAAAAGTGTACAGAATTAAAATTTAAACCTGTGTAAAACTGGATCATGTCAGAACTGCTTAAAATTAACCTTTACCATTTAATGCCATCTACCTGAAAATGGTGAGATTTATACTGTATCAATGTCTATTTTTTTGTTTTTGCTATGAATATAATTACAGTATTTTAATATTTAGTTATTTAATTTGTTCTACTAGTTGGATACAGAACACACAAATCCAGGGGGGTTAAAGCTGGCGGGGGCTAAGAGATTAAGTTTAGTTTACAGAAAAGAAAGGCTTTGGTGGTGGGGTTTTTTTAAATGTGTGTTATGTACATAAATATAAATATATATATAAAATCAAATGAAACAATTACTCTAGATTTTAACATTTTCAGATACTTAGTAATAATATTATGAACAATTCTAAAAGCCCTGTGATTTGAAAAATGTAGAATCATTAATGGCCCCAAAAAGGAAGGACAGGCCTTCACACCCTCATGGAGGCATCATACAGAGGACAGTGGCTTTGGCTATCCCAACTTTTCATCTTTAGGCCCTGGTAACAGGCACACTTATGCACTAAAATGCACATATATGTACATGCATTCAAAACTAGGCATTTGGTACAACAATGATCTTGTACCTAATGGGCTGAAACCAGCTTAAGAACAGATTTGTTCTTCCTGATAACTAGGTCTCCAAGAGAAATAGAAAGGCTGCTTTAGTGCCTTATGCTACTAAATTTAAGTCTTTATTTACCTAAGTTTGAGCCTACAGTCTACTTATGATTACATATCAGATCTGATTAAAACACTTCCATTTCTAAAGGTTCAGATACACTTGTTAATAAAAGGATTATTGGCATTAATAATTTCACTTGAAGAGAAGTCGTGTTCTGCTTTCCTTTCTGTGTCTCACTCCTCGCCCTTCCCCATCTCCATCTTATTCCCATTCTAGAAAACAATGCTGATGTTCACCAGTTGCAGAAACTGTGCTGTCACACAGTACCGGGCTGCCTGCCTGCCCTCTGGATGCATTGTAGCAGTGTTATTCTACACTTTTTTAAAAAAGAAGCACCCTCCTTTTGTCCACGACCATGTTTACCCCATATCCAATGGCAGAGGTGTTCCTTAAAGACTTGAATATAGGAATGTGTGTGTGTGTAGTCACTTAAAGGTTATTCCTGTATGTAGTCCAAAGTTATATGGGATGAACACTTTGAAACTTTCCAACACAACTTCCATAATAGAAGGTGGAAACCAAAACCCTCATGATAGTATTTCCTCTGGCAGCTGGTGCTGTGGGCAACTGTTTTGTTCAATCTAGTTTATTTTCTTTTTGCTTCCGAGGCAGAAATCATAGAATCACTCACACATACAAGTACACTCACGCACATAAATTAATTATTTCTCTGGGTATCTTCTGTGTTCTATGTAAATTTGTTTACCAACACATATTCTCAGTGTGTACATCCACCTTTGTGTGGTCTGCATTCTTTCTCTGCGAGTACCTCACAGGGCTCCTGCCTGATCTTCGTAGTTTTATTTGTTCGTCCATCCTTCCCATCCACCCACTTATTTGTCCATGTACTCTAACATTTGTGTGTAGCGTGCAAGTGTGATGTCATGCTTTTGAAGAAGAGAATAGCTGCCCATAGCAGCCATCCGTCTGGATAATAGCAAAACACTCTAGATAAGTTATTTTGCACTTTCTTATGTATAAAGTTGGTAGAAACTTATTTTTGCTTTGTATCATTTAAATACATTTTGTTTTGGTAAATGAACTGTGTATAAAATATTTATGCTGTTAAAACTGTTTTTAGAAAGTATTTTTAATTTCAGCAAGTTTGGTTACTTGTTGCATGACTATTAACACAGCTGACTTTTTGTGTCAGTGCAATGTATATTTTTTGTCCTGTTATTAACTTGTAAGCCCTAGTAATGGCCGATTATTTGTACAGCAACAGAAGTAAATTGAAGATACTGGCTAAGACTGGATTGATTGTGGACTTTTGTACTATATTGCAGAATCCAATATCTGTTTTTTTGGTGGATATGTAAAAGGCCTGAAGAATTCCTATCTAGTGTGCAATCTGTGATATCTGAATGTTCATTGTATATCTGTCTCTGATACAAAAAGGTAGAGTAACACAATTACAATACATGATTAAATGCAATAGTCCAGGTACTTAAGTATTTTTTTTATTTCAAATAAATACCTATTATTTACTACACACACACAAAAAAAAACTATTCAAGTTGTTTTAAAGTCAGTTCTTCAGAGAAAAACAAAAATGAGATTTAATAATTTCCTAAACTTTGTACAGTGTTTTCCTAGTTGTGAATATCTCTTTTGTCTCTGCATAAGATTGCAGGGATGTTGACTATTCAAATTCTAGATTGAGCCATCCATAAAAAATAGGTTTCCTGCATTCTGAATTTCCCAATTATGCTGGATTCCCAGGGCAGATGACTGTGTGGGAGTGGCAGTAGAAAGAAGCGAGTGACTTCTGAAAGACATGATCTTCAAGTTTGAGCCTATCAAAAAAGACCTTTCTGCATAATTTTGCTTTTTTTTTAACCCTCATATTGTAAAAAGTCCAGCAGCTGCTGTCGTCAGCTGGTCTTTGGTGTTAGAACTCAAAATCCATTTTATTGTTGCTTTATTTGGTTTTCAAATAGCCTTCCCAGGAAAGGAAGATGTAGACGACACTTAGTTTATTTAGATGGTTTTTGATGATTTCACTTTTTCTAAAGATATTAAGTTCATTTAAACTTGAACAGTCCCAAATTTGAAGCTATCATGTACAAATTACACATCAGTGCAATTCCACATAAGAAGCAGAAGATGAATGCCAAGCACTTCTAAAACCATAGCAGGCCGGGTATGGTGGTGCATGGCTCTGGTGGCTGAGGCAGGAGGATTACAAGTAAAACACCAGTCTCAGCAACTTAGTGAGGCCCTAAGCAACTTAGTGAGATTCTGTCTTTAAATTTTTTTTAAAAGGGTTGAGGATGTAGCTCAGTGGTAAAGCAATGCTGGGGTAAATCTCCAGTGCCAAAAAAAATAAATAAAACCATAGTGAATTCTTCAAAAGTAAAAAGTAAGTGGTGAGAGAAGGCCTAGGGCAGTTCCCATGTCTCCTTGCATTATTACTCAGTCTCTTTGAGAAGGGTTACATCAAGGATGGACATTGCAGAAAATCTCAAATGCAGAAATTCCATAACTAGAATGTGGAAAACTAACTAGAAGATTTAAAAGAATAAACATACAATCTTTAGTAAGTCTTTTCAACCATTTGCTTCTCATTTTCAGCACAATTTCTTCCCCATGCCTCATTTTTGCACATTTGGAGCAGCAAAGAGGCTTCATGGGATTGGCCCAATGTTGCTTGATGAATATTCTCTTTTTGCTTGATGAATATTCTCATCTTCCCCTGCCCACTGCAAAGCTCTTTTTATATTTGTTGTTTTCTCTTTTACTAGAGATGACATCAAGCCATGCCATCACACTGAAAGATGGCATAGTAACTTGAAGAACCTATGGTAGGAATTAAGACAGAATGCTGTTCTAGCCAGCTTGGGAAGCTTCCTGAAGCTTCCTTCCAGTGCTCTATCAGGTCTTCCTATGTCAATGCCTGCCTGAGACCATAACAAGGGTTTTAGATAGTGCCACTTTAAACTGTGGTTTTAGGCCTCCGGTCCTTAAAAATGTTATAAGGACCCCAAACAGCTTTATACAGTTTATATTCATCAGTAATTATTACAGTAGACATTAAAGCTGAGGATATGAGTATATATATATAATGAACTGATGAAAGCACTATATATAAACATCAATTATATATTTCTATAAATTACTTTCCAACCAATAAATTGGCAAGAGGAGTAGAATTTTATAAGTTTGGAAATCTTTAATGTCTAGTTTAACAGTGGATTCTAATATCTGCTTCTACAATTTGTTGTGATACTTTGTTTTGATTGAAGCAGATGAAGAAAATCCAGCCTCATAGGTAAGGGGAAAGGAGAACTATTTTAATAGTCTTTTCAGATAATTGTGTCCTAATACTTTTAGGGTTTTTCATAGTTTAAACTTCTTAAAGATGGGTACTATAGAGAATCTGAAATTAAGCTAGGCGCAATGGCACATGCCTATAATCCCAGCAACTCAGGAGATTGAGGCATGAGGATTGTGAATTCAAAGCCAGCCTCAGCAACAGCAAGGTGCTAAAAAACTCAGTGAGACCATGTCTCTAAATAAAATACAAAATAGGGCTGGGGATGTGGCTCAGTGGTCAAGTGCCCCTGAGTTTAATCCCTGGCACACACCCCTGCCCCCTGCAAAAAAAAAAAAAAAAAACTATACGGAACCTGAAATTGGACTAATGAACTTTTCATACTCTATTAAAATTCACTATTCTGCCTTGTACTTTGTATCTTTGCTCATCCATAATTTTATAGCATCATACATTGTTAACAAATATTGGTTCGCTGATATAACAGTGAACTATATGACTACTACTGCAGTGTATGCACATCTTCCAAAGGTTGACTATATAATATCAAAAATCACATTATATATATTAAAATATTACAGCCATCTCAGGAAACTCTATATAGTGTTGGATACACATTTTCAAATAATTTAGTCTTTCTTAAAACCTAAAATTTTATCATTTACAATTAAGTGCTGTTTACTCTTATCTCTGAAATAACAAACTCACTTTGTTAATTGTCAAAAACATTTCTGCCACAGGACCATAGTCTGTCACTGGGCTAAATCTTCAGTGCTAAAAAAAATATATATTTTTTTTTAAAAAATTTACTTTTTCAGTAAAAATGGGTGCTCTTCAAAAAATATGTGAGACCCCACTTATAGCTCAGGCACACAAGTACAAATTTTATTGCTTCTCTAAGGCTTTTTTTTTTTTTTTTTTTTTGCATACCAGGAATTGAAATCAGGAGTGCTCTACCACTGAGCCACATCCCCAGCTCTTTTTCATATTTTATTTTGAGACAGAATCACGCTCAGTTCCCTAAGATCTCACCAAATCGCTGAGGCTGGCTTTGAACTTGTGATCATCCTGCCTCAGCCTTTAGAGCCTTTGGGATTACAGACACGTCCCTCGGCACCCAGCTCCGAGGACATTCTTAAGGGAATCAGGTACTTGTTTATTTTACTGAGAGTGCTTGGTGATGAAGAATATGATTACTGTTGCTAACAGTTTGATGTCACTATCTTCATCACACCAAGATTCTAGCAGTTTTACCTACCATTGCTCTTGCACCACAGTATAAACACCAATGCAATGAAAATGTAAATGAGGTTTGGTATTATTATGGAAACAGTCTTCATCTTGCAGCTCCTCTGAAAGGGTCTTAGTATCTAGTGGTCTAGACTTCAAGAACCATTAGTCCAGGGAGAAGATGCATGAGATGCTCCCTAAACTGAAGAAGCATGCATACAATTGCATTTGGTAACTAAGTTCCTAAGCATACACCTGGAGCACTCATTGAAACCTGCCAGATACACAAGACGAGGCCCCATCACACTGGACAGATGGGGTGGCTGCACCCAGCTACAAAGGTATTACTTCCACAGCTCCAAACCTCAGAGAAACAAAGAACACATTTCTGAGGTATTGAGGTATCTAAGGAGGACATTTTTAAATTACTTTACTAAGTCAAGTCTCTATACTTTCCATACTGTAAAAGAACCTTAATGTTACCGAAAGCTTGGTCCTTGTCCCGAATGCTAGGTTTATTACTTGGCTAGCAAAGGAGAAACACAGGGGACTCCTGTCCCGAAGGCTGTGATTCTCCCCATCAGCAGGAACAGGTGGTTTTTAAAGAGGTGATTAAGAGAAAATGAGATTAAGGAGGAGAAATCATGAAGGAGAAGATCAGGGAAAAGAAGATCAGAAAAGATCAGGGGAAAGGTTAAGGAAAAGAAGATCAGGGAGAAGAAGATCAAGAAGGAGAAGGTTAGGGAGAAGGAGGTTGGGAAAAAGAAAGAAAAAAAAAAAACATGAAAGTTCCAAAGCCCCAAGGGCTACAGTCAAGACATGAAGTGAGCAGGAGCTGCATTCCAGGACAGAACAGTGATTTAAGGAAAAACAGCCTGTTCACATTACATTGATATTATTCTTTTAATATCACACACAGTTCTAACAAGCATCCTATACTGATTAGTCTGGGACCTGAGTTTCTGTTCTACCCCTTTCTGTGTGTGAACTTGGGTGAGTGACTTAAGCTCTCCGTGTCTGGGTTTGCTTATTTTAAAATGTTGTATTATGACAGCTGCCCCCAGAGAATCGTTATATATAAGGATTATATCTGGGAATACATATAGGGAAGGTAGTGCCTGACAATATGTTATAGTGTTAATTTCAAAATAGGAACATAAAAGAAATGATGTACTGAGACCTCTTTCAAAGGCCAGAGGCAAGGCGAGAAGCAGGAGCTCATCTTCACTCAGATAATCAGGGCAGAATGCTAGGGCAGGAAGAGCTCTATGAAGTCAAGCCCAGGCTCTCCTTTGGCACAGGGAAGGGTTCACAGAGGGGTTCACTTTCCCAACATTGCATTCCCAGTTCTGTTCCTAAGCTTCCCAACTCCCAGGCCCATGCCCTCTACAGGTAGCTCCCAGCTTGCTTTCCCAGTTTAGTT